TTAATTGTTAAGTGTTACACGGACCCGGACCTGTTATTTTATATATATATCTAGTCTATCGTTAAAAATCGTATTTCTCCCTTCAGATATCTTTTTTTTTTGTCGTAGGGTTATGTTTTTTTCCTAAAAAAATATTCTGATCCCCAATTAAAAAAAAATATTGTGGTCAAGCAGATGAGAAAAAATAAAATATTCTGAATCCAGATTTTAATTCCCCATACCTTATAGTGAGTTTTAAATTTTGAAAAAAATAATTTGATTGATAGCGTCGAAAAACTAAAAAAAGCGCGAAAAATTTTGTCTGACAAAGACAAAAAACCATACCCCCCCCCTTGAAGTTAAATGGTTGCTCCCTAAAAGGCCCCGACATGACAAATGTAAAACAATTCAAACGAGAAACCTAAAGGCCTGCGACTCTTTTCACAAAAAATCTTACGATTAAAATTGATCGTAAGTTATACTGATTTGTGTAGGACTTACGAGTACTTTTACTCTTAAGATTTTTTGTGAAAAGAGCCGCTGATTTATGTACAAAATAATAAACCAAAACCAAATATGATATACAGCAACAAACGATAACCACTCGGCTTTACAGGCTCCTGACTTGGGACAGGCACATACAAATGTGGCGGGATTAATAGATATAAGAAGATGTGGTACCAGTGCCAATGTGACAACTCTCCATCCAAGTCACAATTTGTAAAAGTAAACCATTATAGGTCAAAGTACGGCCTTCAACACACAGCCTTGGCTCACACCGAACAGCAACATGTTTAAACATGTTTGTGGGGGTAATATGAAAATAAGAAGATGTGGTATCATTGCCGATGAAACAACTCACAGCAATAGACCAAATGACATAGAAGTTAAACATGTTTTTTTGTGTATATATATACTATAGTTATAGCAACCATGATACAAATTGTGTTATAGGGACAACATTTTCCGTAAGAAATGTCAGTCACTTGACGATTTCATTAAGTTTGATTATTTGTAGATCTTGTGTTGCAGATCATTTTTGCTGATAAAAATTCCAGTCTATAAATTACCGTTTTTTAAGATGTAGGATAAAAACAATAAAATCATCAATGCAAAATATTCACGATTTTACTTATTTGTAGATCTGATTTTGTGCTGATCATTAATACTACTAACAATATCTTTGTATCTACTATAATTTTATACCCCCCCCCCCAAACAAAACAAAGAAAAACCAAGCAAAACAAAAAAAAAAAAGATGAAAAAATCGACAAATGATTTCGCCGACAATGACGGTTGATTTATTGGTAGATCTTTTCTACCGAATCACTTTTGTTGTCAAGTGCAAAGTGATTTTATTGCAACAGGTAAACCAACTTGTTAACAGCGACAACATGTAAACCCATTTGTTACAGTGACAACAGGTAAACCCATTTGTTACAGTGACAACAGGTAAACCCATTTGTTACAGTGACAACAGGTAAACACATTTGTTTACAGTGACAACAGGTAAACCAATTTGTTTACAGCGACAACAGGTTAACCAACTTATTTACAATGACAACAGGTAAACCCATTTGTTACAGTGACAACAGGTAAACCCATTTGTGTACAGTGACAACAGGTTAACCCATTTGTTACAGTGACAACAGGTTAACACATTTGTTACAGTGACAACAGGTAAACACATGTGGTTACAGGACAACAGGTAAACCCATTTGTTACAGCGACAACAGGTAAACACATTTGTGTACAGTGACAACAGGTTAACCCATTTGTTACAGTGACAACAGGTTAACACATTTGTTACAGTGACAACAGGTAAACACATGTGTTTACAGGACAACAGGTAAACCCATTTGTTACAGTGACAACAGGTAAACCCATTTGTTACAGTGACAACAGGTAAACACATGTGTTTACAGGACAACAGGTAAACCCATTTGTTACAGTGACAACAGGTAAACCCATTTGTTACAATGACAACAGGTTAACACATGTGTTTACAGGACAACAGGTAAACCCATTTGTCACAGTGACAACAGGTAAACACATTTGTTTACAGTGACAACAGGTTAACACATTTGTTTACAGCGACAACAGGTTAACCAACTTATTTACAATGACAACAGGTAAACCCATTTGTTACAGTGACAACAGGTAAACCCATTTGTGTACAGTGACAACAGGTTAATCCATTTGTTACAGTGACAACAGGTTAACACATTTGTTACAGTGACAACAGGTAAACACATGTGTTTACAGGACAACATGTAAACCCATTTGTTACAGTGACAACAGGTAAACCCATTTGTTACAGTGACAACAGGTAAACCCATTTGTTACAGTGACAACAGGTAAACACATTTGTTTACAGTGACAATAGGTAAACCAATTTGTTTACAGCGACAACAGGTTAACCAACTTATTTACAATGACAACAGGTAAACCTGTGTGTTTACAGTGACATCAGGTAAACCCATTTGTTTACAGCGACAACAGGTTAACCAACTTATTTACAATGACAACAGGTAAACCTGTGTGTTTACAGTGACATCAGGTAAACCCATTTGTTTACAGCGACAACAGGTTAACCAACTTATTTACAATGACAACAGGTAAACCCATTTGTTACAGTGACAACAGGTAAACCCATTTGTTCGCAATGACATCAGTTAAACCCAATTGTTTAAAGTGACTACAGGTTAACCCATTTGTTTGCAATGACAACAGGTACACCTATTTATTAACAGTGGCAACAGGTAAACCCATTTGTTTACAGTAAATAGTTTGACCCATTTGTTTTGAATGACAACAGGAAAACCAATTTGTTTAGTCACAACAGGTAAACCCATTTTTTTTACAGTGCCGACAGGTATGGCCATTTGTTTGCAGTGACAACAGGAAAACCAATTTGTTAAGTTACAACAGGTTATATAGATATCGGAAGATGTGGTATGAGTGCCAATGAGACAACTCTCCATCCAAGTTACAATTTATAAAAGTAAACCATTATAGGTGAAGGTACGGCCTTCAAAACGGAGCATTGGCTCACACCGAACAGAAAGCTATAAAGGGCCCCAAAAAATTACTAGTGTAAAACCATTCAAACGGAAAAACCAACGGTCTTATCTATATAAAAACGAGAAACGAGAAACACGTATGCACTACATAAACAGACGACAACTACTGTAATCAGATTCCTGACTTAGGACAGGTGCAAACATTTGCAGCGGGATTAAACCTTTTAATGGTACCAAACCTTCTCCCTTTTCTGAATCAATAGTATAACATCACAACATAGAAAAACACACTATAAAATATCAATTTGAAGGCTTAACTCAATCAAAAAACGTAAATTAACACACAATGAACGAATAAATTTGACCTGTGACACCTGAATGCAAATACACAGTTAATAAAAAATTACAAGGGATAAATAATTAAAGTCAAAAGTAAATAAACAGGTTTAAACAAAGTTAACGTATGATATCACTGTGAAATTTAAACAATTTTTAGAAAATCATCACTTTTGAAGAAACCTGCGTCATATTATACACAGGTAAATGAAATTTTTTGTTCAGTGTCGACAGGTAACCCCATTTGTTTGCAGTGACAACAGGTAAACTCATTTTTTTCACAGTGCAGACAGGTAATCCCATTTGTTTACATTGCCGACAGGTAAACCCATTTGTTTGCAGTGACAACCGGCAAATCCTTTGCATTGACAACAGAAAAACGTATCTCAAACAAGTTTATCCATAATCATTTGAATAGCTGTAATAACTTGACTAAGTGCAACGTTTTTCTCAGTTAACTCAAATCAGAATCACACTTGGTATCTTGATCCGAAATCCGCAGAGGGATCCGAATCCCGAGAAGCAATTGATGAAGTTTTTAACAGTGGGTAGGTAGGGGCATTTTTAAACATGCAGTGAGGTGAGATGAGTCCTTTTTTTCTCCCTGTGACATTGAAATGAAGAACAACAATAGAAGCGCTTTTCCATTGCTTTTTGCTGTGCATGTACGGATTTAGTGTCATGGATGGATATCCATGGATATCCCATATCCTTTGTTTTTCTATTAGGTAAAATCTGGATCTGATTCACACGGAGCATAACTCATTCATTTGAGCAACAAAATATACCCTTCATCAATTGAATTTAGGCCTCACACAAAAAATAAAAAAGGCATTACATTCATGTTAATTGGTCTCAGGTGGAATAGTAGTCTCATTAGCAATCATACCACATTTCCTTATCTTACTTTTGATTCTGACATATTTTTCTCAGCGTGAAATTGCTACTGATCATTATAAAAGTCTGCTGAAATATAGCCGTCTCAAAAAGGAGATTTTACTAAACAAGTACAGATTTGTGTACAAAATGTAATTACTTTGGTAACTGATATTTTACTACTCTCCATTTAGAGACAGGCGTCAAATGTGGAGGAGGATCTGCTAACGCTTCGGCACCATCTGAATTAACTCCCTGTTTTTGGTAGGGTTCCTATTGCTCAGTCTTTTGTTTTCCATGTTGTGTTTTGTTGACCTGCTTGTCCTTATCTCAACTTTAATTTTTTGCCATGGTTTTGTCATGAACTCTTCCACTCATGAATGCCCCCTTGGTATCTTTCCTCTTGTTTTTACATCTATGTTGACATTTGAGTACTTAATGTCCCTTCTCTCATTTAAGGTGGTACATAACACTTCAGGGAGATAACTCTGTAAAAATCAGCTGAACGTTTTAATCACGTTCTATTGTTAAGGAAATATAAAGCTTCTCAATGATTAAAATTAGTGTTTGTCAAACTGCTATATATCCAATGAAATTTTTCCGATAAAGTGTGTTGTTCAAGTTTTTAAAATTTTTATATTTTTGACAAATGGTCAAAGTAAATATTTTGTCAAAATTTTATGAAAATTAAACGAGCAAAATTAACTTTAGTCAAGGTGTTTGGTACCACCTTAAGGTGGTGCTCCAATTCAGGGATGAACAAGAGACAACACATAGAACAATACATCATTTACTTAAAAAATGTTTTATTTTTAAAAAATAGCTACATGTGAATTGTACAAGATGTATTTATCGCCATTTCTAATGAAATTTGTAAAAATATAGTTTTCTTCATAAACAAACAAACAAAGAAACAATTTGATATAATATATATACAGTAATAATCTTAAGAGCAGGGGCCTCTTGTACCACAAGTTCTCTTACAGACACAATCACAGCTAAAACAAAATAACAATACTTGGGTCATAGGTCAACAAAATAAATGGTTTATTTTATAAATGGTATAGAAAATGTCTTTTTTCACTATTAAAAAAAAGTTTATATTACTGTCGATGTTAATATAAAAAATCCGGGGAAAAATATGATTTTTATAATACTTTTTACTTTTACATATATTGAAAATTTTTCACATCTTCATTAAGCATGTAACTTGTACAAGTATTTGAAACAAAAATCTGAAATAACAACCATTCTAAATAAAAAATAAACATTAAACTAGATAAAATTTTCTACACCTTAAGTGTCAATCTGCCTAAGAATCAGGCAATGGTGAAAACATGACAAACAAAAACCCACTCAAGTTGACATTAATTTATGTTCAAATTGTATAATGGTGCACAAATATAACAATCGTTTCCTTTTCCTGTTCTGGTAATTCAACATATAATTTGGTTGAAATGCACTAGAATTTAAAAATAAGGGGAGCTAACTCCGTAATTTGCTATCATTCTAACCAAAAGTGATCTAGAGATTTCTCGAATTACCAGACATGCAGAAACAAAAGACCTACCATTTCTAACTCCGGATGAGTGTAACTTCAAAATAGGATAGTTAGGTCAGTGGGTTTTTTTCAGCCATGTTTTGAAATTTTCTAAATTGCCTGATTCTTACAAAGACTGGCACTTTAAAAAACCTTCTCATCTCCTTCTGTCAGAACAAATTAAAGCAGTATGATCTTGTATAAAATTACTTAAGATAAGATCACAATATATGGTGATAAATTCTGTAGTTGAATTTTACTTATTTGACAGTATTTGACAATGAAATATAATTACAAATACATTTTGACTGCATGAAAAAAACGTACACGCGATTGCAGAATAGTTTCTATGGATCTCTTTTGAAACAGATGTCAACTTTACAGATATCTGTAGGAACCGACCAAATACTTTTTAAAAAGATGAAAATTTCCCCCTTCAGACAAGTCTTTTGACAGGGTAAGAAAAATCTTCTTTGAAAAAATGTCACACTAATTCTCCCCCTTTCTCCATTATCACATTATAAGTAGAAGAGTACCACATACCATAGAGTACCCAAGCCAACTGATGCTAATTCACTATTAATTGGACTCATTTGAATACTGATTTCAATCTCTTTCGCAGATCCAGGATTTGATGTTGGGAAGGGGGGGGGGGGGACCTTTTTTTATCTAGAATCGGCCGTAATTTTACCTTTATTACATTGATATTTCTTTTCTAGGATGGTATGTGTCCGTTGCTCCCCGTCTGAAACCTCGTCTTATATTAAAAAAAATTAAAAAATCACTCTTCAAAAATTTTGTAGGTTAAAAGTTGACACCTTAGATGTAATTCTAAAATTATCTAAATATATATCAAAAAGTAGTACTTTTGGATTTCTAAGAGACATAACTTAAAATATATTAGGACTTTGGAGTCGAGACAAATTCTGTATAATAATATAATCTCCACAAAATAGGCCACTTCATGGTTATTGCGCCCATATTGAAAAGGTTCTTTTTCAATAATATTTTCCCCATGTTTTTCAAAGCATTTTCACCTCCATTATGAAAATCTGCTCCTATTCAAAATGGCCGCCGCAATTACCTTGAAAGGGCCTATTGAGATTATTGATAACATTCTAAGTAATAACAACACATAATAAGCAACATTAAAATGTATGATATGGCAAAAAGCAAATATATAACATATATTTCTAAATATATGTAATTATATGGGAGTCATCCAGGAAAAAAAATTGTCCTGTTTAACCAGATGCGGATCCTGGATTTAGAAAAAAGTGGGGCCTAGGGCCCCTAACTAGGAAAAATTTAGAGGGATATGTAGCAAGTCTATGCAATAACCATATATAGAGTTAAAAGGGTGGCCCAGTCCCCCCTTAAATCTTCCTGTGTTAACTACAGGTAACCTTAATTAATCCGGCCCTCCCAGTGTTGGATCTTTCCCACTCAAGAGGGTCTGAACTTTTTGTACAAGTGATGAGTCTCACAAATCAAGGATATTGATTTGGGCTCTCTGGTTGATAAAGCCAATCAGCTGATAGCTAAATATTATAAAAGTAGGTTAATCCAGGCCTTGCGGTCATAAAACTTTCAAGCACGATTTTCGTACTCAGACTCGGAAATCAACCAATCAAAATCCTTGATTTGGTGTTTCGAGCACAAATTTTGTACTCCGAGTACTGAGTAAAGTTTTATGACTGAGTACCCAGGACTAATACAGAATGATTAATTCTGCAAGGTAGGCACAAAAACGCTCTATTTAATTATATTTTAACAAAAGTGCATTAATTACATACCCCCCCCCCCCCCCCCCACATCCAGACCCTCATGGAATAATTGGTTTGTATAGGTTTAATGAATTCCCTCTGTATAAAGGAGGAATACCAGCTTGCTATTTACAGACTTTCATGCGGTTTAAAAAAAAATATACGCTTAAATAAAATCAGTACTGTCACTGTGGATTCAGTTATTTCCGTGGATACCAATGTTCGTAGGTTCAGGAAGAATTGTCTATTTTTTTGTATATTTGATATAATGGTTTTGCAGACAAGCCTATTCAAATTTGAACTTTTTTGAACTTTGTGGTTTACCTATATTCATGAAATCAAAGAAAATTTGTACTCGTTAAGTAATAAGGTATCCACTGTTTTCAATAGCTATGAAGATAAGTAGGACAACAACCCGCAAATAAAAAATCATTCGAGTCGTAGACTTTTCTTTATAAATCTACACAAAATAGTTTAGGTGAATAAACTTTACGGAGATCATGTTTGGGTTAAAGGTCAATGATTTCATAAGATCAACAGATTTCTACAATAATAAAAAAGCAATTCAGAAAATAATTAAATGTAATGCATTCTTACAAATGCAGAAACTTTGGCTGGGTTATAGTTCAATTTTTTTAAACAACCATTTTTTTTTATTACACGTTTAAAAAAAATATTTTAATACAACCAATATCTTATAAGTGTTAACCAATTTCAACTTACAAGTGATTTCAATTTGAATTTTATTTTAATTTAGAGATATTTAAACAACTGATTAAATTTTGATTTTTCTTAAATTAGTTTTTCATAAAATTAAAATTTAATTGTTTTTGGTTGTAGAATTTCAGTCGTCTTTTGAGGATCCAAATTAGGACTTTTCCATCGAAATAGATGATGGAGAGTAAAAAGGGGCATTACCTAATGTATACCCTTTAATATTCATTTTATGAAATAGCCCTTAATAAATTCAAACATTCCTTTAAAAATGTACAAATGTTGTGCATCTGTGTATGAATTTAAAAAGACTTAACATATGAAAATACTTTTTAAGACACCACTGAGATCGCTAGGAATTAAGATGCATCATAATCTGACTAAAATCAGCAAGACACAAAAAAATATTAACAGTTTATAATTAATCAATAAATATTCCGGTTACAAATGTACATTCATTGATTGAAATTTTGATTACAATCCTAAAAAAATTACATAAAAATAATAAAATATATTTATTTTTAATAGCAAATATAGGTAAAAAGTTTAAAATAGTGTAATCCCTATACAAGAACAAAATGTTAGTATTTCCTTCATAAGGTTAAAAAGCAATAATTGAGAAAATAATCACTTTTATAAAAGGAAATGGTCAATAAAGTTTTAAAATATTATCTTGGCATTTTGGATTTACATGATTTAAGAAAATAATGGATTTTTGGTCTGTATTAAAAAGATGAATTTCTGTAAATTGTAAAATTTTCTGAAAAAAAAAGCAGTAACTAATTTAGGAAATTTGGTTAAAATTTCAATTAAAATTGAAAAGAAATGATTAAAAAGTATTCTTGAAAAATGATTGTTGTTTTAGCTAATATATGCAGGTTAAGACTCCATTTGGGAACATATCTATCGCTAGGTATTGTTCATGTTTGAAATTCAGGGATTGTACAAAACAAATTAGAATATAAAAATAGGATGAGGTTTGATAGTAAATGCGACAACAGTCCACTAAATACTGAAAAACAGATGTAAACAACTGTTTTGGTTAGCCTGGCTAAAAAATAGCACATTAAATCATGTTGAATACTGTACAGTGACCTACAGTTGCTTACATGGAGATCCTTTGGTCTCTGGTTTATAGTTGTCTGATGGACAATCATATCTCCTTATTTTTATATTGTTAGATTTTGATGCAAAGGAAATAAGGTCATAAAGTGTAAAATGTAGAGTTTTTCTGCAATGCTGTAAAGTGTACATGTTAGCTGAAGCGTTAAACTCAGAAATCAAGGACGATTACCAGAAATTCAAGCAAAAAGGTGAAAAATGTAAGATGGCGGTGAACAATTCAAGCATTCAGGACCTTCCCTCTTCAAAACAGTTGAACCTTAATTCTATAAAAGTAAGCATTTTGTATACAGCTTACATTTTAACAATACAGTATTTTCTTATGCACTATTTTAACAAAAAAAAAAATGAATATCTACACATTCATAATTAAAAATAATCTAATATATCATGAAAACAAAATAAAAACAAAACTGAAAGCTCCGTAAAAAAGAGGGGGGAATCCTGTTCCCTCTTGAATAAATATAACAGAAAATTCTGTGGACCAAATATATATAGTAACTAAATAAGGGTTAATATAATCCTTTTCTCTATAGCAGCTACTTCAGTTGTCAGGAACTTAAAATCAAAACTTCCCTTTTTTTTCAAAAATGGGAAATGTTGTTTGCAGAAGGAGTCATTTAATAAAACAGATAAACTTAATTCAGAAATTTTTGTGATGTTTTTTTGTTTTGAAAATTATGACAGGATAGCATACATGTGATTCTTCCGGTGGGAGTCAAAATCTCCTGAATTTCAATCCCTCTTCCGCCCCTCCCATTAGAAATCATAATATTCAGCTTTTTGGATATTACAACCCCAATAGGATTCACTAATAAAAATTCACATTTTAAATTTTGATGGCATTCTATGTATGCAGCATTTCCTCACATTTTTGTCCTTAATTTCAACAATTGCAAAAATAAATGCAAAAATTTCTGAATATATAGTTTGATTATACAGTATTTTACATGATCTTACATGACAACTTTCCTTGTTTAAATATTGACAGGCTTAGTCCATATCTTTAATAAACTAATAAATAAAACCCAACTCTGAACACTTATTAATCTTGCTTGGATTTCCAAAATCTCAAAACAGTTATAATAAAACAAAAACAAAATTAAAGCAGACATAATCAGCATCAGATAAATGTTTGTTTTCAATTCATAATCTTTAAAGTGTTTTCTTATACAGGCATGTGAGCCAGCTGATAGAAATCTGGATCATCTATATCTTCATCATCTGAATCTTCTTCTTCCTGGTCAAGCTAAAAATAGAAATAAAGAACAAGTGTTTATCAAACCTAGGGAGCAGGGCCTTGAAATAGTTGTCAAAGTGATATGTACTGATAGTAATGCAACTTTATACAAAAAATCATTGATCTATCACAAGTAGTTTCTATCGAACTGATTTGAGCAGAAAACTTAACAATTGTTGACGCTGTTGCTGTCCTAAAAGCAACACCTTTGTCTAACAAATATTGAAGTGCTATTCAGAGACAGACATTTTTCATTGAGATAAAATGAAATACATGTATTTCTTATCTGAATAAAAAATTGCACTCGACTTTTGCAAGTGGCTTCTCCCATGTGAGATTTTTGTATTGTCTTGATAAATGTTTAATGATCGGTTGAGGTTATGAATTAGAACATACGGTAATTTATATCATTGTTTCAAATAGGATATTTAGGCCAAAACCAAGCAATGTTACCATGGTAACTTACCTCATGTAACTCTTGACCAGTAAAAATCCTAGGTAATCCACTGATTCTGAGGGGCACGAGGAGTATAACAAATAATGGGAATGCTAGAGCTGCAGCAGTAGATTTAATGATCAGCAGCATAACGAGGAGTACTAGTTGTATGATGGTGAAAAGATGCATCTTCATAGTCTTCACCTGAAAAAAAGTAAAAATGACTTACTGTGGGATCATATTGATTCAAATTTTCATGGAGTTTGTCATGGAATTTTCATGGAATTTATCATGGAATTGTCATGGAATATTCATGTAATTGTCATGGAATATTCATGGAATTTATCATGGAATTTTCATAGAATATTCATGTAATTGTCATGGAATATTCATGGAATATTCATGTAATTTATCATGTAATTTTCATAGAATATTCATGTAATTGTCATGGAATATTCATGGAATTTTCATAGAATATTCATGTAATTGTCATGGAATATTCATGGAATTTATCATGGAATTTACATAGAATATTCATGTAATTGTCATGGAATAGTCATGGAATATTCATGGAATTTATCATGGAATTTTCATAGAATATTCATGTAATTGTCATGGAATATTCATGGAATTTGTCATGGAATAGTCATGGAATTGTCATCTAAATTAAATTTTTTGTTGTCCTTTGGCAGAGATGTAAAATGACTTTAATTGTCCTCAATCTTGAGCCTTGTAGAATCAATTTCAAACTAATTAAACACTAGTGTAGTAGACTTGTTTAAATCTTCATTGCATTTTTATCGTTACAGTTATTATCTAATAAGTCTTTGTTTTATCTGTGTTCTCTAATTCAGGGTAACAGTTATGATCTAATAAGTCTTTAGTTTTATCTGTGTTCTCTAATTTAAATCAATTATGCTCTGCTGCTATAACCATCATGTGAAGGAATTTAGATTTACTTGTAAAAAGCCAATGGTCAATCTTAATTACAATGCATTTGATTGAGTTAAGCTATTTCAGTTGATATTTTATAGTGTGTCTTTCTATGTTGTGATGTTACACTATTGTTTCAGAAAAAGGGTGAAGGTTTGGTACCATTAAAACGTTTAAACCCGCTGCATTTGTTTGCACCCGTCCCTAAGTCAGGAATCTGATGTTCAGTGGTTGTCGTTTGTTGATGTGGTTCATAAGTGTTTCTCGTTTCTCGTTTTTTATATAGATTAGACCGTTGGTTTTCCTGTTTGAATGGTTTTACACTAGTAATTTTGGGGGCCCTTTATAGCTTGCTGTTCGGTGTGAGCCAAGGATTCGTGTTGAAGACCTTACTTTGACCTATAATGGTTTACTTTTATAAATTTTGACTTGGATGGAGAGTTGTCTCATTGGCACTCATACCACATCTTCTTATATCTATTGAGCAAAAATTTATACTAACAAAGCAAGCAAGCTTACCAAACCTTTATACTACAAGCATTAGGAAAATAGCTCTAATGAGATTTTTTATTTGAAGAATTGAACACTTAAAACTTAGATCATTGGTGTTAAGTTAAGTTATTTTGATTGGTGTAACATTATTTTAATGTCTGTGTACAAACAATAAAATTACCAAAAAAATTTGCAACTGTGTCTGTGGATTCATATTTTTGTGGATTCATATTTATGTGGATTCATATTTTTTTTTATTGTTTACCACTTACCCTACGAACAAATCCTCTTGATGGATGATATTTGACCGGAATGAGTAAAAGTTTGAGTCTTTTAAACATCTGTACCCCGCTCAATGAAGATATACCTAGGTACAGAAACACACCAAACAGCACAGCCATGGGCACAGCCTTTAAAACAGGCTCCCAGAATAAAGATATACCTAAATATAATAGAACAAATATAATACACATTTTAACATTTTTAAATTATCAAATAACATTTTTAAATTATCAAATAACATTTTTAAATTATCAAATAACATTTTTAAATTATCAAATAACATTTTTAAATACAAAAAATATATCCACCATCCCTAAAAGTGACATATTATGTGACACAGATATATATTTGAATAGTTTCATTTGTTAAACAAAGATATTGGCAAGATGTTTTTATGGCTGACTCAGTCTGGGAACTTCTAACCAATTTGCAGCTGTCATTTTTTTCAAAATTCCTTTATTACTTATACAACTGCATACCAACTATCATTGACTTAATACCAGTGGTTTATCTTAAATTGATCTAACCACAATCTTTAGCATGTAAACTATGCAAAATATTCAATTGACCATGAGTCAGGGGGAATGGCCAAATAATCTCCATGGAAATTTATGTGCCAATGCTAATACAACTGCATACCAAATACCATTGACATACTGGAAACAACACAGCGTAAGTCTCGCTTTTCGACTTTCTTGATGCAAGACAAAAATTAGTTCACAAATCAAGTGTTTATTAAGCAAATTTTACCTATGATAATATTCATAACAAGTGCAGTCACTCTCTGCTCCTTAACTTCCATTAACTTTGGTTTTTCTCCTGGAGCATGGTGTCTGCTCATAACGCTGAGTGCCGACACATGAGCAATAGTCCTGACGGTAGCTGGACACATCCATGGCAAGCCAAACAATGAACACATAAAGGTCATAACCCCTACTAAAACCATGTCTAAATGGAATCCTGATCCTTTCTTCATCTTAAGCTCTTTCTTGTTTAATATCATCCTGCAAGAAAATTTAATCCAAACCGTTATTATTTGATTGGTTATAACATCCTTCTAACTAATTTTAGCAGGACCTTTCGAGTTAAGGGCAAATTTCAGAGCTTTGAGCTTGGAGTTCCGAGCTTAAAACTGTAAATTCAGAAATTATTGCGTGCATTTATAATTGCGATTTTTGAAGAATGAACAAAAATGTGAGATTAACTATAGCGATTTCAGGAAAAGCTGCATACAGATATATGCATCAGATATCATAATGCAAATTCTTATCATTGTGATACTCAACCAATCGCATTAATCACATTAATAAAAACCTCACAATAATTTATGAATTTACGGTAATTTGGAAATTTGAACTTTAAGTTTTTTTCTACTATAAACTTTACCTAGTAACAAATCTTGAAAAAAAAAAAAAAAACCTTTTACAATAAATTGCTTCGCCGAGCGCAATTGGATACAACTGCAGTATCCAACCCTGAACAGTTGGGGCAATAATGGACACAATATTCGTGCTTGATACAGGTCTGAATTTGGATTGTAATTAAATATTTGACGCATAATAGGTTTCAAACACGGAATAACTGTAGTCAAAGAACTCAGAATTGGTTATATGATTTGAATTTATATTCAATTTGTTGCTTTTGTGCAATACACTATGCTGTTGCGAATTGACCCCCCTCCTACCCCCCCCCCCCCCCCCCCCCCCCCCCAAAAAAAAATGTACCCCCTTTTTTTTTGCTTTGGTGCAATACACTATGCTGTTGCGAATAAACCCCCGTCCCCCTTTTTTTTCAAAATTTTTTTTTTTTTTGAAGAAATCTTTTTCATTTCTGAAATCTGAAATGAGAAAAAATCATCCCCCCTCCCCCTTTTCCAAAAAAAAATTCTTTCCCTCAAGATATGGTCATAATCTCAATTCAAATTTCCAAAGGAGTTTGCAACCATAATTACCCATTCAAATACATCATAAAAGTCTTAAAATAGAAAATGACATACATAATCATGGCTAAAATTAATATATTAAATATTCCTTAATCAGCATTTTTAAATAGTAACTTCTAAAAATAAATTGACAGCTAATCACCTCAAGACAATACAACATTTCTTTATACATAATTCAAAAGCAGTGTAAGGGAGGTAATCCAAACTTAACATTGTACTTTTTTTTAATTGTATATAACCAGAAAACCCTTGTTTTTCCCCCTTTTTTGCCCTCTAATTCCTAAACGGTTTGAGCCTTAACCCCCCAAAGCCAATCCTAACCATCCCTTTGTGGTATGGAAACTTGTGGTATAATTTCAGAGAGATCCATACACCGTTCCACAAGTTATTGTCTGGAAACTAGAAAAATGCTTATTTGGGCCCCTTTTTGCCCCTAATTTCTAAACTGTTAAGACTATAACCCCAAAATCAATCCCAACCTTCCTTTTGTGGTTATAAACCTTGTGTTTAAATTTCATAGATTTCTATTTACATTTACTAAAGTTATTGTCCGGATACCAAACGTCTTCGGACAACGCTTACGACAATGACGTGATACCAATATACGACCGCAAATTTTTTTGCGGTCATATAAAAACTGGCATAATGCCAACATTCGAAAAAGTCCAGGATAAGAGATAAAAATTCACAGATGGATAAAATAAGAAAACATTAGAGCTATTTTCCTTATGCTTGTAGTTTAAAGGTTTGGTTGGCTTGCTTGCTTTATTTGTATAAATGTTTGCTTAAGCATTGTAATTAAGATTGACATCTGCAATCAATAGATAGGCGGGGCTTCAGCTTGTATACGTTATATTTAACATCCGATTACATTTAAGTATAATGTATACAAGCTGAAGCCCCGCCTATCTATTGATTGCAGATGTCAATCTTAATTACAATGGTTGAGCAAACATTTATACTAACAAAGCAAGCAAGCTAACCAAACCTTTAAAATACAAGCATTAGGAAAATACCTCTAATGAGAATTTTTTATTTGAAGAATTGATCACTTCAAACTTAGATCATTGGTGTTAAGTTTATTTTGATTGGAGTAACCATACTTTCAAGTCTGTGTATTTTGGGGGATAGTGGTCTCATTGGAAATTATACCACATCTTCTCATTTTTATATTAACGAAAAACTTACTCTGTGATTTGAGTTTCAAGATAGAGCAGCATGAAGATGAGAGCAGCTGGAATAAACGAGGCGAAAATAATATAGACTTCAATTCTCTTCTTTGTACCTACAGGGTTCACGACCCATCCACGTTTAAGTGTAGGCTCTAAAGTGGGCGGAACTTGTAATTTCTGAAAAGAAAAGACTATTTGTTTCAGCATAGGCTAAAAAGAATGAATCTTAAAATCTCTGAAAAAAAAGAAAAGTATCAATTCTTCAGAGTTTAAAGACACTGCTTGTAATTAGAATTTAAGTTTTAAACATATTTTTTTACTTAAAGTAAAATGGATTGGACACAAGTAAACCATACCTCTCCGAATTACAATGTATAACAATACAATGTTAATATGAGCATGCAATATTTTAAAATATACAATACTTTATGAGTCTCGCTATTGAAAGTGCAGGCAAACTAAAGTTAGAGTGCGGAAACAGCAAATTTAGAAATTTTTCAATTTATAAAGGGACATATCTTGAGAACAATGTAAGTGATACCACCCAAATTTAAACTTGATCTGAGTTTGGTGGTAATAAGCATTGTGTAAAAGTTTTATAACATTTGGTTGCGGCAAAATAAAGTCTGTAAATTGGCAAATTTTTCCATTTATAAAGGGACATAATTAGAACAGTGAAAGTGATGCCACAAAATTCAAACTTGATCTGAGTTTGGTGGTAATCAGCATTTTGTATAAGTTTCATTACTTTGGTTGAGGCAAAATAAGTTAGATTGCGGAAACTGTAAATTTGCCAATTTTTCCTTTTATAAAGGGACATAAAACTTGAGAACGGTGAAAGTGAAGCCACCCAAATTCAAACTTGATTATTGTTTGATGGAAATAAGCATTGTGGTTAGGTTTCATAACATTTGGTTGAGGCAAACCAAAATTAGAGTACAAAAACTTATTTTGGGATGTATGGAAGGACGTCCAGTACCTGCGGGATTCCAACTCGTAACCTCTGTGTTGACAGGCTAGTGATGACTGGATATAAAAAAATAACAGATTTACAGAACACTTACCTGAGTATATACACTTTCTCCTATTGACAAATCTAACAGCACCATTAAAATAATAGAAATAACAATCCCAAAATCTCCCAAAGCTCTTCTCGCCTGAAAATAAAGTAATAGAGTACTGATAAATAACAGTCCCAAATTCTCTTAAAATACTAGACATATAAATTACTTAATCATTTTATAAAAGCACTATTTTGATATGGCTGCTATTGCTGGTGGACTATAAGTCCCAGTGGGTACCCCTACTATTGCTGGTGGACTATAAGTCCCAGTGGGTACCCCTACTATTGCTGGTGGACTATAAGTCCCAGTGGGTACCCCTACTATTGCTGGTGGACTATAAGTCCCAGTGGGTACCCCTACTATTGCTGGTGGACTATAAGTCCCAGTGGGTACCCCTACTATTGCTGGTGGACTATAAGTCCCAGTGGGTACCCCTACTATTGCTGGTGGACTATAAGTCCCAGTGGGTACCCCTACTATTGCTGGTGGACTATTAGTCCCAGTGGGTAACACTGCTATTGCTGGTTGACTATTAGGCCCAGCGGGTATCATCAGCTCAGTAGTCAGCGCTTCAGTACCACATCATTTTTAACATACCTTTCTGAAACAGTCTCTTTACAAATAAATAAAAAAATTATTAAGTAATTAAGGTTCTGACTCCCTCAGGCAAAGTTTATCTAAGATGGCTTTGTTTGGGTCTTTTGTTTGTGGGAGAGCTGTCTACATATTCTTTTACCTCATTTGGTCTCTGGTGGAGAGTTGTCTCATTGGCAATCATACCACATTTTTTTATTTTTAAATTGGCTGTTCTTTTTAGGTCCTTTTAATTTGGTCATAAAGCTCTTCATGTCTTTCGGTACTTATAAATCCTTGGCTTTCAAATTTTGGCTTTAAACCTTTAGATAAAGGTAAATCCAGAACAGCATCTGAGATGCATGAAAGTAATAAAGTGCTTTAATTTGTTTTATTCTGAATATTGAAGAACCTTTATGAGCACGCTCACATACCCTACATTGTCACTGGGTAAACAAAATATCGCCAGATTCCTAAGTTCAAAGACTCATAACTGCTACAAAAGTCAACTGATAAAAACTTCTTGTGAATATGCAAATATACATAGTATGTCTTAATTATCTAAAAAGTTTCATGACATTCGGTTGTGTGGATTCAGAGGAGTTGTGATGACAAGAACAGGACTGACTGGTCAAAAACATTACTTCGTTCCGTAGGGTTTAATAAATGCTTGCAGAATTTCAAGCTTACTTTTCAATGAATACATTGAAAAGTTTGAAAATCATGAAAATGGAGTCATCTAGAAAAGGCCAAACGTTGAAAATTGTGCCTGGAAAATTAAGGTTAGCATACAGTATTCAAATTTATCAAATATAAATGTCTATGTACTATTTATTATATCTAAATCTATAAACATACAATGGATTAATTTATTTTCCGTGGATACCAATTTTTGAGGAGTAAGTAAAAATTGTATTTTCGTGGATATTTCATTTCGTCATTTTACAAAAGTCTGCATACAAGCCTAAAGAAAATTTGTACATTGTTGACGAGTTAAATTGGTATCTCACGAATAATCATGAATCCGTAGTAAACATGCATTTGGTCAACCATAACAAAATACATACCCTTCTTCCTAAAAATTTACTGTTTCTAAAAATCCTTAGGAAATACGCGATGAGAAACGTCCCTAATGTTAATATCGTCGACATGAGAGCCGTATTGGGTCTATTTTTAACCTCTTTGTAATGGAGGTATTTGTTGTAATGTGTATCGTCCTCAGCCTCCTCTGGAAAAGAATCATTGGCGAACGTGTATCCAGGCAACGAAGTCACGTTTAACACAGGGTAAAGGGTAACATTGCCGTTAGACGACAGACTGCTATTAGTCAAATTGTTTTTGGCACAGTAATCTAACAACAACGGATGATCTTTGAATGTCTGAAAAATAGAAATCAATATCTAGAAACAGAATAAAACAAGGTAAGGGCATAAATAATGTATCCCCATCTGTTTTGGGAATGGTGGATGGATAGAGGAGTTGGACTGGTAGATACTATGAATTCAGAACAAATTATTGTAAATTCAGAAATTATTGCGTGCATTTATTATTGTGATTTTTGAAGAATTAACAAAAATACGAATTTAATTATGACGATTTTAGGAAAAGCAACATACATATATATATATTTGATATCAGAATGCGAGTTCTTATTACTACGATACTCAAGTAGTTGCATTATTCGCATTAATAAAAACCTCGCAATAATTTCTGAATTTACAGTATTGCAGGGTTTTTATTATTCGCAATAATGAATCTAGGTATAGCAATAATATGAACTCTCATTCTGAAATCTGACAAATATATTTGTATGCAGCTTTTCCTGTAATTGAAAAAATTATTCTCTCATGTCGAAATCGCAATAATAAATGCACACAACAATTTCTGAATTTACAGTATTCATTTTCTTTTTGCCTTTTTCCAATAGAGATGTTTAGGACAACATCATTTAATATTAGCAGGTTAAGCTTGCTTTTAGAAACAGAGAGCATCTTATGATAAGGTAGTTTATTACTGTTTTGTTAATACTTGTGTTTTTGTGATCTCCGAGGATGCTTGGAGCTTTTTAAGTAGGCTCTTCTTAGCAGTTTTAAATGACGCAGTGACTATATGGTATGGGTTTTTCTCATTGTTGAAAGCCCTACTGTGATCTATAATTGCTTACATCCATGACATTTGAACTCGTGTAGATTATTGTCTCATTTGCATTTATACCATATCTCCTTATTTTCATATTGGTTATTAAAGACACTTGTTTTTTGTTGAAAACTGAACTGATCAAGATGTCTTCTATTTTGTGTATGTTGTAGGGTTGCTGTCCCATTGACATACACACTACATCTTCTTTTATTCATATTGATGTGCACAACAAATGTTAGTACATGTAGTAAAAAATTTCATCAGGTACATTAGACCCATGCACTTTGGTAAGTATATTAATCTTAAATGTATTTACACATTTGGTATTTAGCTGAATTTTGTCTCTGAATGACCTTAGATCTGTTTCCGAATAACCTTCTGATGTCAAGCAACAATCACTTTTTAATCATGACGTCAATTTTTTTAAATTGTAATTCAAATTTTACGGGAACTTGTGTGTGATTTTAAGTAATGGCGGACACATTTGCATACAAGGGTAAATACGTCTATTGAGAATACAAAAAGATAGCCACAGATAAGGAAAATTGTTTTGTACATAAATCAGAAGTAAGTTTTTTTCTTGTTTGAAATGTTTTACATAGGTCATTTTCAGGCCTTTTATAGCTTATAGGTGGTATGGGTTTTGCTCATTGTTGAAAGGCCGTACATTGACCTATAGTTGCTAACTTCTAAGTCATTTGGTCTGTGGCAGAAAGTTGTCTCATTTGCAATAATACCACATCTTCTTATTTTTCTATGACTTTGGACTGCCTATAACAGCCATAGATTAGAAAAATATATGTGAGGTGTTATAAAACAGATTTAGACAAAACAGATTGTTGAGGAGAATGCTTAACCATAACTGTTAAGATGGTACCAAACACCTTGACTAATATTAATTTTGGCTCGTTTAATTTTCATGAAATTTTGTTAAAATATTCACTTTAACCCTTTGACAAAAATATAAAAATTAGAAAAAAATTGAACCAGAAAATTTATTGGAAAAATTTCATTGGATATATAGCAGTTTGACAAACACTAATTTTGATCATTGAGAAGCTTAATATTTCCTTAACAATAGAACGTGATTAAAACGTTCAGCTGATTTTTCAGAGTTATCTCCCTGTAGTGTTATATACCACCTTAAAGAGATACGTCGTGCCTGTGTACTTTAACTATCAACAACACCATCATGTTTCTGCAACATACACGCTGTGGTAATGATAATTGATTAATAGGTGTTTAACGCCACTTTCAAAACTATTGTGCTATTTCATGGTAGTCAGTTTTTATTGGTGGAGTAAGTCTGAGTGCCTGGAGAGATCTACCGACCTTTGGTAGGTAAACTGACAATCCTAGTCAATTAAGATTGGAGTCGAGCACACCTGCCATGTGCAAGATTCAAACTCACAACCTCAGTGTTGACAGGGTATTTATACAGTAGTTTGAATACTTAAGACCACTCAGCCATCAAGGCCCCAAGGGACAATCAAACTCATATACCCAAAATAAACTGACAACGCCATGGGAATAAAAGAACAGAGTTTCAATAGTTGGTTGAGTCCCGCAACATAAATATTGTAGTAATGTTAAAAAATATAGAAACATGAACAACTTTAAAACTCTTCTTTTTTAAATTTCTTACCTCATCAATTTTCTTGATGACCTCAAAAATGAAAATGAGTGAGATGAGAATGGCAAAGATTTCCTCGGTAAATCTGGAGATATGACGGACGAGGAAACTGCTCTCTGCTGCAACAGCTACTATAGAAATCAACATTACCCAGAATCCTATCCATACCCGCATAGTCAAAAACTCGATATTATTATTCTTACAAAACTGAAAGTAGAAATGTTAGAACATTTTTTAAAACTGAAAGTAGAAATGTAAAAAAAATTTAAAACTGAAAGTAGAAATGTAATAAAATTTTACAAAACTGAAAGTAGAAACGTAATAATATTTTACAAAACTGAAAGTACAAATGTTATACAAATTAACAAAAATTAAAGTACAAATAAATTTTTACAAATTTTACAAAACTAAAAGTAGAAATGTAATAAAATTCCAAAACTGAAAGTAGAAATGTAATAAAATTCCAAAACTGAAAGTAGAAATGTAATAAAATTTTACAAAACTGAAAGTAGAATCTTATAAAACTAGAAGAGAAAACTGTTATAAAATTATATAATTTTGAGAGAAGCACCTTTTGAATTGAATTGAATTATTAAACTGATAGATAAAAAATGAAACTGACTGTAGAAACTTAGTAAAACAGGACAAGTTTAACATATAAAAGAACTGTTAAAAGACGAGGACAGGTCCAGTAGCGTATGTTTCAAATATTTATAAACAAGTTTTATTAATAGGCATTTGCTGTATTATCTAATGGTCTCCTTTTATTCATTTTTCAGATTGGTTTGTATGAATTGATTGTCAATAGATTAATTGTTATTTTCTAAATGTCCAGTGGCAAATATCTCATGTATGTTAAGGACGAGAACATGTTAAAAAAACAAAGACAGATCCAGTGGTGTAAACTTACCATATAAAGGGACTGTTCAAAAACAAGGACAGATCCAGTGGTGTAAACTTACCATATAAAGGGACTGTTCAAAAACGAGGACAGGTCCAGTAGCACCAACAAGCATTAAAGGTTGTCCTGCTAACAAAGCAAATATAATACCACAAACAGAGGTGCTTATCACAGTTTCTTTGACACCAAGATAATCATAGGTCTTCTCACCTGCAAAAAAGACAATAGTGAAAATTGTAAAATTACTTTTTAAGGTGTACCATATGTTAATTATTGCTATTTTGTGTATTTTTTCTTTGATCTTTTACTCGCTCATCAGAAACTAAAGGCTATGCCATTGTCAAGTAAACATCAACAACTTCATAGGCAAAATAGCGATAAACAAATTATATATGGTCTTTCAAAATCGAGGATGTCACCCTTCGATCAGATGTAGCTGAAAAACACCCTCTTGTTTGAAAAAACATCAATAACATATAAATATTCCTGATTTTCATTTGAAGTGGACATTAATAATCCACTGATAAATTTTCAATGAAATTGATCTATTGTAAATTCAGAAATTATTGCGAGGTTTTTATTAATGCGAATAATGCAACTGGTTGAGTATCGCAATAATAAGAACTCGCATTCTGATAACTGAAACATGGATCTGTATGCAGATTTTTTCGAAATCGCAATAATTAAACTTGCATTTTTGTCCATTATTGAAAAATCGTAATAATAAATGCACATCATAATTTTTGAATTTACAGTATTAGATTCTACAGAAAATATCATAGATGGTGAAAATGGTAAAAAAACCATTCAAACAGTTAAATAATATTCCAAACGCTTGTTCTTTCTTGATTTTCATTTGAAGTGGACATAACTATTCCACTAAACAACCTGTTACCTATTCTGACATCGGACTCAGACTTCTTTTAAGGATGTTCGCTGCTCATGTTTTTTGAAATTTTGCCAGATATATAGAATCCTCTGGTTTTATCGATGTAGGGCAAATAAAAAAATTTTGACCACTAACCCCTACTTTTCTTTTAATAACTTGATTACATATAGTTTAAATTGTCATATTTGAAAATCTTATTAAATCCTTGTTATTTTTTCATCGTTTTTGAAAGAAAAAAAGTGCCAATGTTAAGTGTATGAAAAATCTAGAGAGAATTATTTCCTGCCAAATTTTCAAGGGCTTATATCTCCAAAACAAGCACACGGACCCTTCATTTTTTTCTGCTTTTTTAGTTTCTTTATTTATATACTATCAATTTATAACAGTCTTTTAAAAAGCTAGTTATCTTGAAATAGAGTAGCGAACATCCTTAAACTGAGTTTGACTGTGCGTATTGCTGTGTGTTTGTTTATTCTACATTGGCTAGAGGTATAGGGGGAGGGTTGAGATCTCAGAAAACATGGTTACTTACTGTTAGATTAAAAAAATGCTTAGTTTGAAGTGTTTAATAAGGTGTATTGTATAACAACAAATACCATTTCAGATGTACATTAATTCTAACCCCGACACATTTTTGCACCTGTCCCAAGTCAGGAGCCTCTGGTCTTTGTTAGTCTTATATGTTTTTTTAACTTTAGTTCATTTATATGTTTTGGAGTTTAGTGTGGCATCCATTTTCACTGAACTAGTACACATTTTTGTTTAGGGGCCAGCTGAAGCCTGCCTCCGGATGTGGGATTTTCTAGTCGTGGTGAAGACCCATTGGTGGCCTTGGGCTGTTTTATGCTCTTTGGTCAGGTTGTTGTCTCTTTGACACATTCCCCATTTTAAATTTAAAAATTTCATTGAAATTGATCGACTAGATTCCACAGTAAATACTCAAAAGCAAAACCATGGAGATGTTGTCAGCTTTAAAATAAATAATTTTGTATATCAAATGGACATACAACCATAAATGACCTACAACACATGTCCAAAAAATACCCTTCCCCCCATAACCATAATTGACATATGACCCTTCCTACCCTCCCTAACCAATTTCAATGGAATAGTCCTATGGTTACTTACTGAGAAGACCACCAAATGCAATACAAGGAGCGAAACAGGCGAAAAATATAAATACAATAGCTGCCAGGCATTTCAGATTAAATCCGTCCTTAAAATCACTAATATAGTGAGGATAACGTCTTTTTATGTCGTAATAAAGTCCACCAAATATTTTTCTTGTCCTTCTCAATGGATCCAACGGAATTTTATCTTTTTTCTCCTTCTCTAGAAGAGCTGAAAAGAAAAATCGGATCAGAGTTAAAATCTTTAAATCAGAATTAATGTACATCTGAAATGGTATTTGTTGTTATACAATACACCTTATTAAACACTTCAAACTAAGCATTTTTTTAATCTAACAGTAAGTAACAGTTTTTTTCTGGATTAGACTAAATAGCTATAAGGTCTATTCACCATTTCCGAAGATAATTTTATTGCTTATACCTCAAATAATCAAAGTTCTTATAAGCACTGAAGGGTAAAGATTGCTTTAATTTATCAGTGGGAAGTAAAATCAAATATTTCATTGTATAAAACATTGGTTATAGTTGATTCAACTACAATTCTGGACTTAGGAAGATAACTCCAATTTTTAAAGATGACATCATTGATATTTTTAGAACAGATATTAGATTCCTGCACCTCACAAAAAGTTAAGTAATTTTCTTAATAAGTATAACATCATTTTGTTTACCCAAAAATGATGTTACCTGATGTTCATCAGTACGATATCAATCAATCACAATGTCTTAAGAAATACCCAGAATGCATTAAAAGAATTTTCTGCAATTGAAAATTGAAGCATCCTGACTAGGCCTCACCTTAAATTTTTAGTCACTACAAGCTTTGAACATGTTGAAAAGATTATAGTTCAACTTTCATAGTATTTTTCCCTTTGAATAGTATAGATCATTAAAAACTAGTCCTTGTTGCGACCTGGATTTATCATTTTTCTTCATTTTAGTGAGGGCTGTTCCATAAACAAATACATGTTTGGTACCCAGACAAAGCACTTAAATGTTCTTCCATTCTCAATTTTATTTGAAAATGGGGGTAACCATCTACCGTTATTGGCCATGTATTGTCCGCATTTGTGTATAATCCGCACCCCCTTTCCATCCCCTATTTTCGTGAAAAAGGTCTAGTTCGCTTGTAAAGTCCGCAACAACTTTTGACAAGTTGAGGGTCCACGGACAATGACGGAAACGGCCAAATTTGCAGTCAAAATTTTAAATTGTTTTTGGAGAGATCTGCAAGAAAGTAAGCATTGTTGTTAAAAAGATTGATAATTAGTATAAAATTATTATTTGTTGAAAGGGAATTTTAAAGAGATGTATTTAATCTTTTTTGAAAGTCTTCATAAGAATTGTTTATTTGCTCAATCAAATCTTCTTTCAGAAAAAACTGCAGACTATACAAGCCTTATTACGGTATAATTATTTTTTTCTAGCTTTTCGTAGATGCAAGTGTTGAACAACAGACCCAAATAGGAGACTAATAATTGTGATTACAGGAATTGCTCCATACAAATAATAATCAAAATACAAGGTAGTTTTTACTTTTGCGAAACCCATCCTGTTGCAATTTTAACATTTAAAATGTTAAGATGGTACATAACACTACAGGGAGATAACTCTGTAAAAATCAGCTGAACGTTTTAATCAAACAATTCAAAGAGAAGACCTTCACCATTTTTCTTTCGACCAATCATAAGCTACCTTGTTTTTCTTCTTCCTTTTGTTGTTTTCTCCTTTTCAGTCTTGCTTTCTTCCTTGCCATATCCATAATAGGCAAGAGTGTCTTCTGGTCCCAATCACCAGGTGGCAACACTATCGATTCATCAAGGAATTCGTTAATGGCACCCAACAATTCACGACGACTCTCAGCTTTGTAAGCCACATCATGAAAATGCTGAAATAAGCAATGTTAAACATCTTACATGGTTTCAATGTTTTTTGTCAAAAAGCGGACATTTTTTTATGTTATAATTTGTTAAATTCAATTTTTTGCAAATTCAAATGAAAGAACTGTAAGAGCAAGCTCACATACCCTATGTCTTAAAGTTAATGCTATCCTAGCAATAAAACTTAATATGTAATTTTTGAAAGTCCCTTCATAAATAAAAAGTCCCCCATTTCAGATTGGTGGTCTAAGTAGTTCAACTAGCCAGTCAACACTGAGGTTGTGAGTTCGAACCCTGCTAGTGCGGGTGCATTCGACTCCAATCCTAATTAACTAGAATTGTTAGTTTTCCTAATGAAGGTTGAAGGTTCTCTTCGGCTTCCTCCATCAATAAAAACTGACCACCAGGAAATAGCACAATAGTGTTGAAAGTGGCGTTAAACACCAATCAATCAATCAAACCTGATTTAACGTCAGAGTAGATATGGATCTACCAACTTCATGATATTTCATTCCTCTATATTTTTCATTTTCTCCCTACAGCAAACGTCCTCATTTACAACAAAGCATTTTCCATTGTGGATTTTATTTAAGTGTGAAATCAACTTATTACTTTATAATTCACTCTCTTCTTTTGAGCAGTCTGAAACCTCCCCCTCCCAGTAACACTATCACCCCTCCCGTTACATACATTGGTAAACCTCATACCTGATTTGACATCAGCGTAGATATAGATCTACCAACTTCATGATAATCCATTCCGCTATTCTCTGGTCCAAGCAGCAGAAACAAAAATCTAACAGGAAGTGGCACCTCTGTCAGGTTATCGAGATACTGTCCCTCAGCCAATCGGACGAAAGCTACAGCTGGTTTGGTCAGGTAATCCACACATCCTACGAGTACTGTCGTAGCTTCTGCTCCCTTTGGGATCCTCCTCATGATATCCTGGATGTTCTTTTGACGAGGGTCTTGAGCTGGAGTAATTCCAATATGTACACCATCTGATGGCTGTAAAATCAATAAACATACTTTGCAATATTTTTTTCAATTAACACATACAGCAATAGATAAAACAATTCTTATTTAAATTAGTGCTGTTCCAGATTTAAATGTAAGGGGATGATGGCAGGCAATCAAACTAATTAATTGTGGGTGGTTGCATTTTCTTATATAAGAATTATAAGTAAAATGAAAATTTCATATTACGTGTGGTTGTGGTCTATACAAAATGCCTTCCATCCCCCTATTCGTTTAAACCTTGAAAATAAATTCTCAAATTCTGAACATTGATCAAACATATCTTTAGAAGTTGTCTAAATTACAAAATTTAGCCTTAGTGCGGTTTCTATATAGATATTTTACATTTTAGGTGTTCCAAAAATGATCTGGATAATTAATAAATTTTTTGTATGCATTATTTTTTTTTTTTTAATTCTTTGTTTCCAATACATAGGTCTGAATTAAGGTGATGAGCATTATATCATACCATATTGTTGTCAACATCAACTTTAACAAATTCAAGCTTGCCCTTTGTGTCTTGATGATTATCATCCAATAATTTCTCCTTCACTGAATCCTGCCGAGTAAAGTTCTTATCGTTGTGATCAAGGCTGTTTTGAGATCCTACTGATCGGAAGCTAGCAGTCGACAGTGACTTCATCAAGGAATGCTTAGTACTCTGATGTCTGAAAGGAGCATATAACTGCATATTCATTAATGAACTTAATTTATGAATATTCATAAGGAAGTAATTATAATTGCCTGAAAGAAACATATACTGCATATTCATTAATAAACCTCAATTATGAATATTCATAAAAACAAATAATGATTTTCTGAAAAGAACTTATACTAATATTCATAAAAGATGACACTAAATAAATATAAGAAATATATAATAACTTATTAATGATTCATTAGAAGAAATATATATCCTAATTTTTCAATGATTAAAAAAGTAACTGAATGAATATTCATGAGTGATAAATATTTAAAATAATAAGAAACCTATAATGCATATTCATGAGTCATCCTCACATTTAAATATTCATTAGAAGAGGATACAGTTTGTGATTCTTTTAATTAGGATGATAGTGGACGATATGATCTGATGAACTGTTACTGTGCAATATTTTTTGTGATTTTTGTTATCTTCTTTACGTATTTTTCAACGACTGAATATATTTATCGGCCATATTACAATGAGTTTGATTTCACACAAGATAAATCATCTGTGTTCTTTGTCTTTTTCTTATTTACGATTGTTTTGCTAGTATTCTACTACGAGAATTTAACATCAAGTGATATCATTATAGGGCCATTGCATTGAATGTAGTCAAGCTTTTGAGTGTAATAAATATTATACGAGGGATAATATTCCCCAATATTCCTGCAATGATCATTTAATTGTATAACAAAGCTTGAAAACCTGTTTAAACATATTTTTGTCGCTGAATATCAAAATTTAACATGATTTGAAATTGTTTATTTTCTTCTATCTTTTTTTTTTTGCTCAATCCTAAAACTAAGACGAAAGTGATTTTTAAGTTAGCATGGAATGGGGAATAAGAAAAATTGGATTCTATATTCTAACCACAAAATTCACAAGGGCACACACACTTCTGATCTAATTGACAAGGATTTTGTTAAACTAAACATATCAAGCTGAAAAAAAAAACTAAAATAAATGATTATCTATATAAATAAACATAAAAGCTGAAATGAAAATAAAACATGGCTGAAATGCAATAAAACCAAACAAACTTTAATTTTAGAAGACAGTACAATGTCAGACTTGCCTTCTTATCTAGTAATTATAATTTGAAAACAGTTCCTACTTCTATAAAATGTTTAATCTAATCACGGTTGATGACTAATTTTCAGTTATTTTCAGATATCAATAGCAACCACTGTAATTCTGTTCCATCTCGGGGAACAGGGTTCAACATTTCTGGATAAAACTTACACAAAATCACCTCGTAAGCATTTTCTATTCTAAACTCAACCAACACCACATAAAGTTAGAGGCTTATAATTTTCATAAATAGCTGTTAAGGAAAATTTAAACTTTCAATATAAAAAACGGAGATCTGGTATGATTGCCAATGAGACAACTATCCACCCGAGTCCAAATGAGATGGATATAAGCGATTAAAGGTCTCCACCCGAGTCCAAACGAGATGGATATAAGCGATTAAATTGATTGATTGATTGTTGATTGCTTAACGTCCAGTGGCAAATATTTCATGCATATTCAGGACGAATAAGCGATTAAAGGTCACTGTAAGACCGTCAACAATAATTTGTTGTGTTTGTCTGGTTTGTTATTATTTCTAAATACAAAAATTAATAATGCATTCCAAATAAGGGAGGGGCATAAAGGAAAAAGCATAAAACAGTCAACAGAATGTTTTAACAGCATTGTGAATTTAAAGCATCTTATGAACATGGATGACAATTTGCAAAGCAGATGACCTCTGCTGAATTGGCTATTGAATACGATGATTGAATTCTAATAAAAGTCTAAAAGTTAGTTTACTTGAAATGTTATTTTTCTTGCAAACAAACATGAAAAATATTAATCACTACCCTTTGATTTTATATTCAACTGAGGTTTATTTCAAATTCTACTGATTAAATGGGAGATAAGTTCTGGATAAGAGACTCAAACAAGTTTATTACAGACCCTGCTATGAGTTTACTCTTAATCAAATTACAGCAGATACACTTGAGTGTGTACAATGAACGACAAAGTTAAGTTTCCTTATTTGTTCGGTGGACCATGAAATTGCAATTACCTTTGTTTACAACCTATAGAAAAATTCTCTAGGGAGTTAAATCATGGAATAATTCATCGAACAAAAAAACAAACTCAAATTGAATGCACAAAGTACACACTCTGCTTCAGGTCAGCTGTAATTCTGAAAATGAAATAAAATGTGCAGCATTAATTGAAACCAAAACAGATAAAGGTGAACATTCAGGCATTGTGAACAGTTATGATAAATGAGTAAAACAAACTAAACAACTGGTTAGTAAAATGATAGAAAATATATATAAATGCAGTTTTGTCCACCTGAAAATATTGTTGTATTATTACAATTAAAGCTTAACCATTTCTTATTTCATCAATAACATCTTTATCGATTTTCTCTCCCTACTTTTTTGTTTCTGAATCAATAGTTAGGTCCTGAGATAGTCTGTTTTTCTGGGGCTTATCCATTTTACATACTAAAGTTCTGTTGTTACATTGTTTTCATGAAATATCAAGTTATGGGTAATGTCACCATAACCTAGTCTTTAGCCAGGGTGATGGAGCCATAACAAAAAAGTTTGATTGAATATTTTAAGAAGAAATCTGTCAAAATTATTATATTTGCTTAATTTGCATAGAAACGCATAGAAAATGTCACATGAAATGACTTTTTCAACCTCCACCCAGAAACAGAAACTATCTCAGAACTTTTCTACTGAAGTATTTTCTAGACTATTCTTGTCCTACTGACTTTTGACTTTGGAGTATATAATTTTTGGACAGGCTACATACTGTTCGGTAGGACATTCTGGTACTCAGTAAAGTAAGAACAAACAACGGCAGTAAAATCAAGCTTAAAAACTGCACAATTTTGGGGAAAAATTAACAGTTTTCCGATGATTTTTTTGTGTATAGAAAACATGAAACAGTTATTTTTTTCCACAAATTGCACCTAGTGTAAGCTTGATTTTATTTCTTTTCGTCACTCTTAGACTTACTAAACCAAGTACTAGAATGTCCTATCACAGAGCAGGCAACCTGTCAAAAAAGTATATACTCTGAAGTCAAAAGTCTGTAAAATAAAAATAGTCTATTCAAAAATTATATAGCTGGACTTAAAGCACAAAGCTTTTTCAAACTATTGAGAAAAGTCAACATGTAATGTATTTTTCAGTTTTCAAAAACCCTTTTCCTTTGAAAAAATGTAATTGACTTGAATCTAAACATAGAATACCAACTAGAACATTCTGATGTTTCAAGTTATAATTAATATTTAATGTAAACCAAATTAAAATACTTTTAAAATGTGGAGAAAACAATATTTTTGAGTATGGGCAAAACTGCTAAAACTAATAGAAAGAAATAAACAACAAAAGCCATTTTAGTATGCAGACTACTATTACCATGGTTACAAGTAATTAGCTTAGTACATATTCAAATTCAAAGGTCAAATTCTATCACATAGATGTATATAGATTATTTGTTTTATTTCTGGGTATAAAAGACTATTTTCTTGCAAAAAAATTAATGGCTCACTTAGAAGCGACAGTTCTGCATCTGACAGAATATTTGTTGGTTCTAAAACTTCCCAAAAACGTCCTTATTTATCAGAAAATAAATTCCAAAAACTTCATTATTTATCAGAAAATAAATTCCAAAAACTTCATTATTTATCAGAAAATAAATTCCAAATATTTGATTATTTATCAGAAAATAAATTCTAAATATTTGATTATTTATCAGAAAATAAATTCCAAAAACTTCATTATTTATCAGAAAATAAATTCCAAAAATTTCACTATTTATCAGAAAATAAATTCCAAATATTTCATTATTTATCAGAAAATAAATTCTAAATATTTCATTATTTATCAGAAAATAAATTCCAAAAACTTCATTATTTATCAGAAAATAAATTCCAAAAACTTCATTATTTATCAGAAAATAAATTCCAAAAATTTTACTATTTATCAGAAAATAAATTCCAAATATTTCATTATTTATCAGAAAATAAATTCTAAATATTTCATTATTTATCAGAAAATTAATTCCAAAAACTTCATTATTTATCAGAAAATAAATTCCAATAAAATGCTCTGCAGGGCGCAGCTTGATACGACCGCAGAGGTCGAACCCTGAACAGTTGGGGCAAGTATGGACACAACATTCAAGCTTGATACAGCTCTGAATTTGGATTGTGATTAAATATTTGACACAGCATAGGTTTCAGACACAGAATGAATGCGGTCTAAAAACTTAAAAATTTTAAATTGGACATTCACCTATTATGGTCCAATATCCAAAATCTAAATACATGGTTAGATTCAGCATATCAAAGAATCCCAAGAATTCAATTTTTGATGAATTCAAACAAAGTTTAATTTTGGACCCTTTTGATCTCAATGTGGAAAAAGTTGATAACGGGGCCCAAAATCCAAAAACTTAATACACGGTTAGATTCAGCATATGAAAGAACCCCATATATTCAATTTTTGTTGAAATCAAACAAAGTTTAATTTTGGACCCCGATTTGGACCAACTTGAAAACTGGGCCCATAATCAAAAATCTAAATACATGGTTAGATTCAGCATATCAAAGAACCCCATATATTCAATTTTTGTTGAAATCAAACAGAGTTTAATTTTGGACCCCGATTTGGACCAACTTGAAAACTGGGCCCATAATCAAAAATCTAAACACATGTTTAGATTCAGCATATCAAAGAACCCCACATATTCAATTTTTGTTGAAATCAAACTAAGTTTAATTTTGGACCCTTTGGACCTTTATGTAGACCAATTTGAAAACGGAACCAAAAATTAAGAATCTAAATACACGGTTAGATTCGGCATATCAAAGAACCCCAACAATTTTTGATTGAAATCAAACAAAGTTAAATTTTGGACCCTTTGGACCTCAATGTGGACCAATTAAAAAACGGGGCCCAAAATCCAAAAACTTAATACATGGTTAGATTCAGCATATTAAAGAACCCCAAGAATTCAAGAATAAAACCCCATTGAAATTGATCAAGAAATAAGCAATTTATACGAAGTATATTCTTTTGCACAATACTGTGCAATTGAATATTTCTTGCTATTGCGCAATACTGTACAATTGACAATTTCTTGCTATTGCGCAATATTGTGCTATTGGATATTTCTTGCTATTGCGCAATACTGTGCAATTGATGATTTCTTGCTATTGCGCAATACTGTGCAATTGAAGATTTCTTGCTATTGTGCAATACTGTGCAATTGAAAATTTCTTGCTATTGCACAATACTTATTGTATAATAATTTACACATCCTGTTTGGTGTGTATCTTCTACCATATCATTATTATTTGCTTTTAAATATAAATCAGAAATAAACAACTTAAAATGGAAAATTTTAAAAGAAAAAAAAAAGGAAAAAAAGAAAAAAAAAAGAAAAAAAAAAATCCCCCCCCCCCCCAAATTTTTTGAACCCCCTTATGATTCATCACCCCCAAACTCAATCCCAGCCTTCCCTTTGTGGTATGGTACCTTGCAGTACAATTTCAGAGAGATCCATACACTTGAACACAAGTTATTGTATGGAAACTAGAAAAATGCTTATTTTTGGCCCCTTTTTGGCCCCCAATTCCTATACGTTTCGGGCAATTACCCCAAACTCAATTCCAGCTTTCCCTTTGTGATATGGAACCTTGTAGTACAATTTAAGAAATATCCAAACACTTACACACAAGTAATTGTCATGAAACTAGAAAAATGCTTGTTTTTTGCCCCTTTTTTGGCCCCTAATTCCTAAAATTTTGAGGCAATTACCCCCAAAATCAATTACAGCCTTCCCTATGTGATATGGAACCTTGTGGTACAATGTCAGAGAGATCCATACACTTACACACAAGTTATTGTCTGGAAGTTACAAAAATGCTTATTTTTGGCCCCTTTTTGGCCCCTAATTCCTTAACTGTTGGTACCATAACCCCCAAAATCAATCCCAACCTTCCTTTCGTGGTATTGAACCTTATGGTAAAATTTAATGGAGATCCATTCACTTAAACTAAAGTTAGAGTGCGAAAACCAATGTGTCTTCGGACGACGACGACGACGCCAACGTCATACCAATATACGACCAAAAAATTTTTAATTTTTGCGGTCGTATAAAAACTTCATTATTTATCAGAAAATAAATTCCAAAAACTTCTTTATTTATCAGAAAATAAATTCCAAAAACTTCATTATTTATCAGAAAATAAATTCCGTAAACTTATCAGAAAATAACAGAGCATTTGCATTCTTTGTGTAAGCATAAAAAGAACAAAAAAAATTCAGAGTATTTTTTATTTCTGATTTGGATAAATTCACCATGGGTAATTTCATTGTTAGTACTCCAAAAGGAAAATAACATCTCCTCACTGGACTAATTTCCATTGTTTGTAGCGATTTCAACCAATCACAATGTTCTGGAGTACACTTTTGAAAATATTACCCAAAATGCATTAGATTCTGAAACGGCTTAATAAACTGACCTAAAAATGCATATGCACAACATACATCGCTGTTTAAATATAAATGAGCCCTCAGCTTCAAGCTTTTAAATATTTGATCATTTCTACAATTTCAGCATGCAAGCAGAATATGTGCATTTCACAAATTTGATTGCATATTCAAATGCCCAAAGCATTCAAAAGCTAACGGGTGGATTATACAGCAAAATACTATAGAAATGAGAAATTAAAAAAAAAGCATGGACTTTCTGCTTGTGCTGAGGTATGAAAATTTAAAGATCTAACTAAAGGATTAAAAAAAAAAATTTGTTTTTTTATAGCTCAAATTCATTGTCAAAAAAAATTAACTGATTTTAATGACTATCTAGAAAAAAAACAGCTTTTATGCATATGTCAAGTTGGTTTTACAACTAATTGAAAAAAAAAGGCCATAAATAATAGACTAGGTTGTAATGGGGGTACCTTTATGACGAATAATGATAAAAATCTTGCCAAATGATGTTAACAGTAATTTTTGATGCATGACGATAAACTGTACATTTTCTTAATGACGATAACGTTATCACGTTAAATTCTTTCCAAAAATAATGGTAACGGATAATTATTTGAGACCTCTGACAAATCACGATAAGGATATTTTGACGATTTACGATAAAATGTTAACCAATTTGACGCTAATGGTAGCCGAAAATGACCGTTTGATGCGTGACGATAAAGGGCATTCCTACCCTCTAGAATCAGTTATTCTATAATCAATAGTTTTACAGAACTTGAGCTAGTGAAGAAAACAAAAATGTTTCATGAATATTAAATATTTAATAAAACAGATAATCTATGATAAAACAATGAATAAAATAACCCTGTGACCTCTTGAATTTGAATAAATAATTAAATATGGTTATATATATAGGATTCCCAAGAAGAATGTAACCATGGCAACCATGGTATATCCACCTGTATCTGTCTAATCCACGTAGATTCATATAGGAAAAATTCCTTCGGATAAAGTTTTCTCTTTGACCAACATGTCTGAAAAAGGGAGGCAACTCTTATAATATCCTAATCAAATAAAATGGCTGAAAGGCCATGCGGTGCATACATACATTTCCATAAAGTTACAATTAAACAAAATGCGATTTTATAAATAAATCCGAACATATAAGTCTTGTAGAAAAGACAACCAACTTCCAAATTCCATTTTCCTTTAAGGCTTTCATGCATGACTAAGTGTCCCACCAAAACAATTATACATGCTCTGGAAATATGGTCGATTTGCAACCAAAGAGTGATAACATAAGGAAACAGGTATTTTTTAGCCTGCTGCCAACACAAAAGCAACAAAAGGCAACCAAAAGCAATGAAAACCTAGACAGAAACATTTATTCCATAAACATAATAGACCAAACTTATGGGTCCTTTGTCTGCCTACAAGATCTGGACCCCAAAATTCACTGAAATACATTGGACCATTACTATTTCATTGGATTGCATGTCTGATAATTTTTTTTTAATTTAAAGCAATTGTTGATTGTGTAATGAAACTTTATTCAGACTAGTAAGAAATAATTTTCCAGCGGACAAAATGTTCAATGAAACATTCATTATTTGAACTGTAGGATAACTAATGGCAAACAGTTACAGGAAATACAAGTTTTTACCAAGTTATGAGGGTCTGTGTGGGGTTTACAGAATAGAGAATAATGATAACTGAAAAAATGGGCCAAAAAAAATAAAGAATAGAAAAAAAAATTGAAAATATTGAGGTGGTAAAATATAAAGACTAAAGAGTAGAGAACAATGGGCAAATTTTTTAAAGAACAAGAGAAAAATTACCCCCCAAAAAAAGAATACAAAAATGAAAAACCCCACATCAAGACCCTCAGTTACGTTATAAAAAATGACAAAAGTCATGCAAACATCCTTTCACCAAAATAATCATCAATTTTAAACAAAACAATAACAATACTATCTATTAAACATTTATAACCTGTTCACAAAATGACACTTTGATCTCGGATGACCTTTATTCCTGCAAGGAAGCAATCTCAATTAACATAAGATAGTCTAAAATCTATATCTTGAAAAAGTTCTAAACTTTTTCCTCCATAATTCTTCTTCCATAACTTATTATAAAAGAAATGACATTCTGACCTTTGATGACCTGTTCACCTGTTCAACAAGGGAGCAGTCATAAAACTTTAGAGTATGATTATCTTCGTCAGACTCAGAAATCAACCAATCAAAATATGGATTCAGTGTTTCGAGCAAAAATTTTGTACTACCTATATTGAGTAAAGTTTTATGACTTAAGGCCTGGTTTGCCTTAAATAAGCATTTTATTTCTCAAAAAACAGTTCAAAACTGTATTCTTGTAATTTTATATGGAGTAGGGGTGGTAGATTTTGAAATCAAATTTTCTTCTTCAGAATAATTACATTAAAAATGTTAAAAAGCACTGCATACAATGTAGAAATAGCAGGTTTATTTAAAGGATTTAGTCCAGACAAATGAGAAAAGTTTGTTATAATAAATCACTGGCCAGTTACTTAAAGCTATTAAAGGGAGATAATCGATTGTTACAGTTATACCACAAACAGGATGTGAAATTAATTAATTTAAGTAAATAATGCAAACAAATTAATGATCAAAAGCTTATCAATGTTGTTATTCATTAGAATGGTGAAACATACACACATGAAATGTTTGACTTGATTTTTTTAATTTTTTTCTCTCAAAACGCTGGAATTTGTCTACGTGAGTCAGAGATGCACATACAATTTCAGATGAAAGATTGTTTAACAAAATATTGTTTATGATGACTGTGTTTGTTTTTGAGTTTAATAAACAAGTTGATATTTTTCGTCAAATTGATGATATTTAAAAGATTTTTATAAAAGAAAATTTAACTAATTCTTATCATTGACAATAATAGCACAATATACAATATTCTGTGATTGTCCTTTGTAGTAAGGTATGTTTGTTTACAAGTTAAACTCAAGCTTAACGGGTGATATTTTAAATGCCTTCAAGAGAGTTCTTAAGACTGAAATTTTCCATTAAAAACGGGGGAGGAAAGCTACAATCTCGTTTGTTGACACCTATGGCTATATGGTTCAAGGTGTTGTATGAGGTTTTGAGAAATGTAATTGTAAAAATCTGCTCAAAAGGTAAACAACTCCAACGAAACCTGGAACATGATTACGTCAAATAAAGCAGACGTCTCCCATAAAGCATGTTTGTGGTAAATCTTGGTAAAAATTCTTTGTAATTATAGCTAATTTGCAAGCGGAGTTACTTACGCACTGTATGTAAAGCATTTGCATATCTGAATATTCATATGCTTCTATGTTTAAAAAAAAGCTCTAGATCAAATTAAATTAAAAGTTCTTATGAATGCAGCTAAATCCAAAAGCAATTTTCTGGGAAGGCAAAAAGCAAAATGTAAAAACTGGTAGATATAAATAAATAATCTTCACTTCAATCTAAAAACACATCTAAGACTAATCATTCACAAAATTTTGGCCTCCCGGATCCTAATTATTGTCCTGTTAACTAATTATGCCTGTTTTGGTTACTCACACTATTATTGTCAATATAACTGACCTATATATACAGCTGTCATAGAAGTGGGTGGTTTAGCTAGCTGTAAAACCCGTGTGTAACCCACCATTTTCTTCAGAACTGCCTGTACCAAGTAAGTTATACTACTATTGTTTTGCCGTCATTCTTTTGATTGATATAGTTGAGCCTTTGGTTTTGTCAGTATATATGGACTACCCCTCTGTTGATTGATACAGTTGAGCCTTTTCTATATGGACTCCCCCCTCTTTTGATTTACCTTTGAGTTCGGTATTTTTGAAACATGTACTACATTTCTTCATTTACAAGCTCTAATCAGTAAATAAAGTTTTAAATGATATACAAGTTCTAAGTCAGAGTACAAGGGCCAAAATTTGGCAAGATACTAATCTGATGGAGCTTATTAATATTTGAAGCAAATAAAAACTAGAATAAAATTATCCAGATTTCTTGAAATCTTTTTTCCTCCTGGTGGTCCTTGAAGAAAATCTGCTGTTCCTCACTATATTTTTATTGTAAAATACCAAAATTGTATCGGTCCTGCCAAATTTGGTGGTCAAAACCTTTGGAACTTCAGGCTTTTGTTTTCATTCTTAGACATCAGATTAAGTAAGTACTAGTGGATTATCCCAAGCATTAATCAACAGTCACCAATACTCTCTTCACACCTATTAGTATGCTCAGGGAAAGTATACAGGTTTCAAAAGGCAGATCAAGACATTAAAAAGCTGAAAATGCATAGAACATTTCCATGCAGAAGATAGTCTGAATGAATCATCCCTTCACTTTGAATCATGGAACTACTGAAAACTTTGAAACCTTAAATATGTTGCATATGATTATCAAATAGAAACCCCACCCAGCCCCCTCCAGGAAAATGCAACCACCCACAACTTAATAAATTTGAGTACCTCCCATCCTCCCCTAAACGATCAATTTTGAATCATCCCTAAGCGCATACCAATTTTTTTTAAATGCATGGTTACCAATGGCAACCATCAATCGTCACCTAAATAAAAATGTGAAACACATTGGTTTCCTACAGCAACCATCATTCCCTACATAAGCTCTAAGTTGATATATCCACCATAAAAAACTTCACAACTTCAAATGTTGAACACATTGTAACCTACATTTATGGTAACAATCATTCTTCATATCTTTTACTGAGCAAATCACTACAAATGCACAAGACACACTGTAACCGATGGAAACAACCATACATCACGATAGGTTCCCTCTGTAAATGACACTGATGTGTCAACATACATTTGTTCCACCTAATAGAAGTTCCCCTAAAAACTTTGTTACAAACAATGCCATAATATCTGATCCTGTTGGAACAAATATTCTATATAATTAATTCCGTTAGGAATAATATTCCAGGACATTTTTTCCATTTGGATCTTTTTTTTCATGACAGATGTCTACCAAAGTTATTCACACATTATAACCACTGCAATCACATTATGTGTAGAAACTTCAACTAAGCTCATCATTATACTATCTGAACACACAACTTTAACTATTTTTCTACATACAAGGCTACCAAAATCAACAAACATGACTGGTTACAGCCGATTTCAATGAGTGTGTAGCTAAAGGTAATATTTTTGGTTAGCTTGCTTGCTAGCTGAACCGTGACGTCTTTGTTAGGTTAGGTAAACTAATATCTTTTAAAAGTAGACTAGTCCAACAGATAACCAATCTATCTGTCTGTAGGACTAGGCTACTTCGAAAGGAGGGTAGTATACCTTACCTAACAATGACTTCACGGTTCAGCTAGCAAGCAAGCTAACCAAAGGTATTACCTTCAGCTACACACTCATTGAAATCGGCTGTAACAATGAACCAATGAATGAGCTACTATCAAGATGATATCACAACAAAAAAGACTTAACACATAAGAGCTTATATATTTTACAATGCAGTTTAGTTTCCATAAAAAAAACATAAAAAATCTCAACTCTGCCTTTTAGAAGATTACACATTGTTACCCATGGCAACTACCAACTTGACAGGTTACCAATGGCAACAATCACACATAGCTGGTTACCTTTAGAAACCATCACTCTTTAAATGATTGGTTACTTTTGTTACCGATGAAAACAGTGATTATTTAGCAGAGCTGACCACATCACTTACCGCTTACTCATTACACTAAGGAGGAACAAAATTTACTTATATCAGAACATAACATTAGGCAAATCAGAAATCTTGTAACTGAAGGTAAGAATAACTAGAGGCTCTAAAGAGCCTGTGTCGCTCACCTTGGTCTATGTGCATATTAAACAAAGGACACAGATGGATTCATGACAAAATTGTGTTTTGGTGATGGTGATGTGTTTGTAGATCTTACTTTACTGAACATTCTTGCTCCTTACTTCTATCTATAATGAACTTGGCCCGGTAGATACAGTGGAAAATACTTTGTAAAAATTTACAAAAATTTACAAAATTTATGAAAATTGTAAAAAATTGACTATAAAGGGCAATAACTCCTTAAGGGGTCAATTGACAATTTTGGTCATGTTGCCTTATTTGTAGATCTAACTTTGCTGTACATTATTGCTGTTTACAGTTTATCTCTATCTATAATAATATTCAAGATAATAACCAAAAGCTGCAAAATTTTCTTAAAATTACCAATTCAGGGGCAGCAACCCAACAATGTGTTGCCTGATTGGTCTGAAAATTTCAGGGCAGATAGATCTTGACCTAATGAACAATTTTACCCCCATGTCAGATTTGCTCTAAATGCTTTGGTTTCAGAGATATGAGCCAAAAACTGCATTTTACCCTATGTACTATTTTTTAGCCATGTCAGCCATCTTGGTTCGCGGGCGGGGTCATCGGACACATTTTTTAAACTAAATACCCTAATGATGATTGTGGACAAGTTTGGTTAAATTTGTCTTAGTAGTTTCAGAGGAGAAGATTTTTGTAAAAAATTACAAAAATTTACGAAAAATGGTTAAAAATTGACTATAAAGGGCAATAACTCCTTAAGGGGTTAACTGACAATTTTGGTCAAGTTGACTTATTTGTAGATCTTACTTTGCTGAACATTATTGCTGTTACAGTTTATCTCTATCTATAATAATATTCAAGATAATAACCAAAAACGGCAAAATTTCCTTAAAATTACCAATTCAGGGGCAGCAACCCAACAACGGGTTGCCTGATTGGTCTGAAAATTTCAGGGCAGATAGATCTTGACCTAATGAACAATTTTATACTCATCAGATTTGCTCTAAATGCTTTGGTTTCAGAGATATGAGCCAAAAACTGCATTTTACCCTATGTACTATTTTTTAGCCATGTCGGCCATCTTGGTTCACGGGCGGGGTCATCGGACACATTTTTTAAACAAGATACCCTAATGATGATTGTGGACAAGTTTGGTTAAATTTGTCTTAGTAGTTTCAGAGGAGAAGATTTTTGTAAAAGATTACAAAAATTTACGAAAAATGGTTAAAAATTGACTATAAAGGGCAATAAATCCTTAAGGGGTCAACTGACCAATTTGGTCAAGTTGACTTATTTGTAGATCTTACTTTGCTGAACATTATTGCTGTTTACAGTTTATCTCTATCTATAATAATATTCAAGATGATAACCAAAAACGGCAAAATTTCCTTAAAATTACCAATTCAGGGGCAGCAACCCAACAACAGGTTGTCTGATTCATCTGAAAATTTCAGGGCAGATAGATCTTGACCTAATAAACAATTTTACCCTTGTCAGATTTGCTCTAAATGCTTTGGTTTCAGAGATATAAGCCAAAATCTACATTTTACCCCCATGTTCTATTTTTAGCCATGGTGGCCATCTTGGTTGGTTGGCCGGGTCACCGCACACATTTTTTAAACTAGATACCCCAATGATGATTGTGGCCAAGTTTGGTCAAATTTGGCCCAGTAGTTTCAGAGGAGAAGATTTTTGTAAAAGTTTACGGACGACGGACGACGGACGACGGACGCAAAGTGATAAGAAAAGCTCACTTGACCTTTCAGGTCAGGTGAGCTAAAAAGGGGAAAGGGGGGGGGGGGGGGAGGGGCTTAGCATCAATGAGACAGCCATCATAAAAATCACAAATAACTACAATTATTACCATTGCAATCACACTGATGATGTTTAAGAAGCTTAGTTCTAGACATCATCTAGAGTGCAACACATTCTTCAACAATAAACAGTTATCTATACAATGTGTCAAGTTCTAATCCATCCAGTTCAACAATAAACAGTTACCTATACAATGTGTCAAGTTCTAATCCATCCAGTTCAACAATAAACAGTTACTTATGCAATGTGTCAAGTTCTAATCCATCCAGTTCAACAATAAACAGTTACCTTTACAACGTGTCAAGTTCTAATCCATCCAGTCTAAAAATGGTAATAAATTAAACAGAAACTATCAACACCAAATTCCCAGTCAAACAAAAACCACTAGGATATGACATAAGACAACCAGTGTCCAGTTTCCAGACTTGGGAAAGGCACATGAAGATAGCCTAGAATTGCTTTAAACAACATCAGTAAAATTTAGACATTGTCATTAAACTGATTATTATGACATTAAAGCTACAAAGGAACTTAACATGACCAGAACAAAAGAAAGGCTTTATAACTCAACTCTATGGACCAGTGTGACTATTTGAAGTTGCACATAAATTAAACTGTTGATATAATTCCATGAGGTAGGTTCTCAAAACAATTCACACTTGAATCAACTCAATCATAGCTTGATTATATTCAATTTACAATTTAAAACACAAAGACCAAACAGACACTTAAGAAAGCATCTGTCTTAAACCCTTACCAAAGCTTATGAAATTAGACAACAAAGAGAAAGAAAATTTAAAATAGTAACAACAAAAACTTGCATTTTGACTAACATTTAAAAACAGCACACATTTATAGCATAGTGAAATCAGTATGAAGTACTCCATTAATATTGCCCTATGACACTTTATAAGTAGATTCCTTGGTTTCTGAAATGTTATATCATAAATTACATTTATTTCATAGTGGGGGTGTATCAAGACAAAAAAGAAAATCTAGACATAAAGTGGCAATCATCGGGCAGAAATCTGAGCTGAATACACAAAACTTCATATTAAATGGCAGAAGTGAAATTATTTCACTTTTTTGGTGCCGTGACCAAGACAAAGTATGAAAGTATTTTTCCAGTCTTATACAACTACGTGAATCTAATATCTATCACTAATCTATATTATGATAATACATACTTATGTTTAAGAAGCAGAGTTCTTAGTATATTGCCTTTGTTTTCAGGCTTAATTTGATCATGTATAATCATGCTGTCGATTATGTTGTTAACAATGGTTGGTAGATCTGTTGCTTCTATGTCTAACAGCATTGTACCTTAAATAAGAAATGAATACATAATATAAATAGTAACTCACACTTGTATTATATTTTCTCAATTTTAGTCATCTTGACAAAAGAAATCCTGTGTTTCATTTAATAAAAATCTTCTACAATACTTACCAATTAAGAATTTAAATAAATGAGAATCAAAATCTGACTATACATTTCATATAAATGACATTTCTGAACTGACTTTCCTTCCTAGAATTATCCCTTCTACTAGCTCAAGAAATAAATGTAGTGTCAGAAGGTTCGCTTAAGATGACGCCACCTATGAACATTTATTTTACAAACCATTCTCCAATCCCCTTCTAAGTTCCAGCAGACTATGAAATGAAAGTGAGGCTACATGGGGTTTCCCCCATCTTTCTGCTCCTTCTTCTACATCTTCCTCAAACTTGATCCAACGAGCTTTCTCTCTCCATTCAAATTCCTTAGACTCTCCAACATACAATTCATCAAGTTCTACAAACACCTGCAATTATAGATACATGTGTTAGATGGTATGATTTGTATTTCATTAAATTATTAAATCTGAGCTGACTTTAGTAAGTGAGAGCACTGTGGATTTATTATTCGTGGGCTACCAATTTCTATGGATTCCAGAGTATAGGTAAACCACGAATATAAATCTACTATAAATCAGCTACAGTTTATTTTTCGACTTATGAGTTTGAATTAGGAGATAACTGTATTGTATTTTAAGCTCCGACGGCATCAAATCACCAATTGATGCCGTCGGAGCTTAAAATACAATATTGTTATCATCATTCTAGTGAAACTGATAGAAAACACCGTTAAAATATACATTTAAAATCTGTCATACGTCGTCTGCGCTTTCGAGTACGTTTTCATAGCATCAATTGTAAATTGATGCCTTGAAAATTAGTGACGTTATACAATCAAAATAAACGTCACAAATGATGTTGCATTAGAATGTCCCTTCTGTATCTTTCGCCTCTCTCCTATAGGCTTGTAAGCACAATTTGACAAAAACCACGAAATCAAGTATCCAAGGAAATTGAATTTGACATCAATCCACGAAAATTGGTACCCACGAAAATATAGGAATCCAAAGAAACAATTTTTTGTTCTCGTTTTTTTTTTATTTTCAAAAAATTAAAATTTGTATTTTAGTTTTTCTCACCTTATTGTCATTTGATCAACAATCATATGCATACAAGCATTAATATATTTTCTTAATTTACAGTATTCTAGTATTCTATTATGAACCCACCAGTCTTTGCTCTTACTCCTAAATTCCATGTGCTTACTGGAGGAAAGGCGCTATAATACCAATTCAAAAGTACTTCCTTTGATTGGCCTGGGCTTGAACTCATGACCTCCCGTCCAGTCTTTCCTCTTATTCCTAAATGCAATGTGCTTGGTGGAAGATAAGCAAATACCAATTTAAAGGTATTTTGTTTGATGGCCTGGGATTGAACCCAAGACCTCCCACCAGTTTTTGTTCTTACTCCTAAATGCAATGTGCTTAGTGGAGGAAAAACAAATACCAATTTAAAAGTCTTTCATTTGGTTTGCCTCTGATCAAACTCAAGACCTCTGACCTCAGGTCAGATTGCAACCATGGTTTACCTCATGAGGACTGTTTGATGGCCTGGGATTGAACTCAAGACCTCCCATCAGTCTTTGTTCTTACTCCTAAATGCCCATATGCTTAATGGACAGAAAAGTAAACACCAATGTGAAAGTCTTTCGCTTGATTGGCCTAGGATTGAACTCGCAACCTCTGACTTAAGGTCAGATTGCTACCATGGTTACCATTATTTACCTCATGAGGACTGTGATCAAATTTTTTTCTTGGTTCCTTGTAAAACTTTTTCTTGGCCTTGTCAGCCTTTCCAATATGGACGATGGATGCCATGGCATTACGTTTCTTCCTGTTGATTTTATGTCTTCTAATTCCTTGTAAATTCTCCAATCTATGGCCTAAAAATAGAAATATTATTTTGTAATTGTATAAGATTTTGTTTTCTTCTCAGTCTTTAGTTTCTTCATGTACTGTTTATGAACTTATTTGTTTTTTTGTCATCTTCGTTTTTTGCCTTGGCATTGCGTAGTCCCCTGAAAGTAAATGAAGGCCCTTATTGCTATTGGTAAAAAAGAAGACTTTTCTGCTGGTCCATACTTAGAAAAATTTGATTCAGACCCAAGTCACAAAACAGCCCAAATGTACCTTGCCTACTGCACTAGTCAATCTTTATCTGAATACATAATTAACAGGGCAGCTATTTCTGATAAGAAGATCTTGATACTATAGATTATAGCCTTTGTATCAGGTCGATACCAGGATACATCTTTTTGAAAGAAGAATATTGACTGGCTTCTTTCTGGAATCCGACAAAATTTATATTGAAAATCTTTAACATAAATATGGTTCCATATATTGATATATATATATATTGTTACTTCAAAACAGCTCTACCAAAAATTAGTCATGTGTTCACTAATATTCATGGATAGAGGTTAACTATATAAAATTGGTATAGGTGTCATGCTGTATAGACATAAAATTTATAAGCAACTGATTTGTTTTAAATTTTGCACTATGTCTGGCTTCCATAACTTTGGTAGCAGGCTTGATAAAAATTACTGTAGAGACAGCCATCAAAAAGTATTAGTAGACTTACTAGGTTCTGCATAGGGTTTTCATTTACATATTTAATAAAGAACCTTAATTTTTATCACAATGCAATTACAAGTACACACTTTTTGTATTTTGTATTTTTTATTATTCCATTACTATTTTTATAGAAATGGATTATCAATTTTGTAATCAACATCATAAAAATCTAATGATTTTATGATTCCTAGATATCCCCATGTTGGGCCTCCTTAATAGAAAAAATACATACTGGCCATTTCATCCAAATCAGCTGTATGTAGTAAATTAGCCTCGTCAGCCTCAGTCGGAACACGCTGAAGTTTTTTGTCCAGGTGGACTTCGCTCCCCTTCTGTCGCCGTAGTAACAGATCTTCTTGTTTATAGTGCTCATGATGGTGGTGGTGATGACGGTGCTTGTGTGGCCGCCCGTCTGATGATCTATAAATAGAACATGTGTAATTTGTAATCCCAGTGATCAAGATACTGTAAACCAATTTATGTTTCTGACTTGAAAAAAAAAGGCTAATATAAATCATCACCAATTTGTAAAACTTTGATCTTTCCTTACATAAATAAGCCAAGAAAATTAGAAAATCACAGAAATAAAATTAGGCGAAGTTTGTTGGAAAGGGCTCAACACGAAATAAAGTATCCACGAAAATAAGTTGGTTTACAGTAACTGTATGAAGGGCGGAGTACTCAACACAACTAGTATAGACCTCCCTACCACTTTCCTTGTATAAAAATAAAGAGATATGGTATGATTGCCAGTGGGACAACTACCCACCAGTGTTCAAATGGTGTGGATGTTAGCAATTATAGATCCTTGTACAGCCTTCAATAATGACCAAATCCCAAACTGTATAGTCAAATGTATGTTAAATCCCAAATGAGTCAAACCAAAAACTTGTGAAAAAAAAAAAAAAATTTGCTGTATCTCAACCAAGCATGCAGCATTAAGGAGTTGGAGCAGACATCTTGGCAAAGTCTCAGAACTATGTGTCTGAATAGGGGATGAATTTGTTCTCTTCCTGGTAGGCACCTAATATTTGGTGTAGAAATGGATCATATCTTACCTAGAACCTCTCCTGTTATTATTATGAATCACTTGTTCTGCTGATGGATCATTTTCTTTGTCCAAGGCCTCTAGATTGGAGTTACTGTCTGCCCCTACAAATATATGCACCATCTCTAAATTAAATTATATATCATAAAATATTTAATTCAATTTCAATTATATGTACTGTTAATTCAGAAATTATTGCGTGCATTCATAATTACGATTTTTGAAGAATGGACTAAAATGAGAAATTAATTATTGCGATTTCAGGAAAATCTGCATATATATATATATATATATGAATCAGATATCAAAATGAGAGTTCTCATTATTGCGATACTCACCAAATATCATTATTCACATTAAAAAAAAAATCCCAATAATTTCTGAATTTGGAGTATAAAATCAGTTAATTACATTTAAAGTGATGTGTAGATAAATATATTCTGTATCGTGTGAAACAGGACATTTCTTAGGTCAACACTGTTAAATCTAAAATTTAAAAAGCAAGGCTTGCTTTCAAAATTGACTGTCAAGAGTAGAGAAATATTGCATTGCATTGGATTCCTTGGTGTTATCTGTTAAAAAGATATGTAAAAAAAAAAACCCAAAAAACAAAGTGCTGAAAGTGGCATTAAAAAACATAAATCAATCAATCAATCAATCAAATATAAGGGATTAGAAGGGAAATGATCCATCAGCTCATGATACAAAAGCCCTATATACAATTTAAACAAGAGGCCCCACGCTGAGATGTCACACCGGCTTTACTGATCATGATTGAATTTCTTGTTGAGAGACCAATAGTCAAAAGCCACTTCTCAAATGATTTTAAATTTGGTGCATCCGAATCACTTTTCTTAATTTATTATCATCAGGAATGCTCAAATCCTAAAAATTTTATAGCAAAGAACATATAAAGACTTGAACACATCTGGACCTACAATGACCAAAAAGTTCCTAAAAATAAATTACGCAAATCTAAGGTCAGCTTTGCCTGTCTCAGGTAGTTGAAACCTTAGTTTCTTAATAATTTCTAAACCTATCAACAGAGAGTATAAGAAAGAAAATATATCATAAATCAAGCCTCTGCTGAAGTAATAAATGTCAAATCATGCTTACATCTTATTATTATATATGATACATGCTACATAGTACACAAATTATATATATATATAACATTATCCAATCATCCCTTTCAGAATCTAATGCATTCTGGGTAAAATTTTCAAAAGCATACACAAAAACATTGTGATTGGCTAACAAGGTTCTAAACAATGGAAATTCAACCAATGGGCTAACGTTATTTTCATTTCAATGTTCAAACAATAAAATTACAGACAATCCCTCGATTCTGAAATGGTGAATTTCTACAAACATAGGAAAAACAAGCGTCTTCTAGTATGTAACTATGTGACCATTTATAGCAAAAGTACAAACATTTGTATTAAAAGATAGAAGCAAAATAGCAGACAAAGCATTAAAAGCAGGTGTTAATAATGGAATATACACTTCAGTCCATGTGGATTCTGTAATGTTCACTTGTCCACTGTGGACAGCCCATATCTTTAAATATCAATTTTACCATAGGTTAAACGAAAGTATAGAACTCAAAAGCTTTGATAATTTTTTCATATTTATATTGGGTTCAAACTTATAATGAAAGAAATGAACTGACATGTGTACATCACCATCTTGAATTTTGCCAGTTCTGACCCACTTCCACTGAGGATAGGTAGAAAAGACAAAGTCCTCCCAAGCTGTAGTGTACACCATCTTGTATTTTTGCCAACTCTGACCCACTTCCACTGTGGACAGGTAGAATTGACAAAGTCCTCCCAAGCTGTAGTGTACACCATCTTGAATTTTGCCCACTCTGACCCACTTCCACCTTGGACAGGTAGTAATAACAAAATCCTCCCAAGCTGTAGTGTATATGATGAGGAGTGAAATAAAAACAGGCAAAGGTGGATGATTGTTAGGTGAGCAGGTGTACACTTTATAAAATGAATATATAAAATTAATAATGACAGATATTTATCTTATGCACTGTAGACTTAGACATATTTGAATTCTCTTATTAGCAACGAATTTGAATTCTCTTATTAGCAACGAAAAGTTGATAACTTAAGAGTGGCAATTTTGGGGCGATAATATTATATGGGTATAAGGACCAATTACAGTCATTTATGGTTCTAGCCACTAAATAACACAGAATTTCCACTTTATCTGAACGTTAATGTCATATGTGATATTGTATAGCAAGAAGAGAAGAACAAACGTCAATCAATTCTGAAGCTCCTCTGCCTTCTCCGAATTTGAACTTATTATGAATGTAACGAAACTTGCAATCAACAAGTTACCATGGAATGCAGAAGAGCATGGAGGTAAATGTTGATTTGTAAACCTGTTTCAACTCTCATAAAAGAAATTTGTATTCAAAAGCAAGAATAGATTTGCTTTGTATTGATGAAGTTATCTCCCCTTGTGAATCTGAATATTACAACAGTATGCTGTTTTGACAAAAATCACTCTTTATTGCATAAATTGCCAACTGAAAGTAAGTTTAACTCGTCTTATCATTATCAAAGACGTTACATGAAAATGTAGTTTTCTATAAATTCAAGCAGTGAACCATACATCTACTTATTTTGTCGTATGTATGAACATTTTTATTATTTTTTTTAATCTAAATCTTTAGATGTGCTAAAAATATTGAAGACACACCAAAATTCAAAATTTAGGATATATAAAAGAAGAATGGGTCTGAGGACACAAATGCCCCCGCTCAAACTTGCAATTAATACATGTAATATGTGAAAATATTTTTGGGACAGACAGATGAATGGTCAAGGGTTACATTTAATGCCCCCTTCACCTAACGGTGGGGGCATACAAATTAAATGAATTACAAATCTTAACACTCTAAAATAGGTAAATATCCTTTGACAAATTTTGACTTCATATTAAAGATATAAAAATGCATAAATAAAAGTAGAAAGAAGAATGTGTTAAATGCTAAATATCTATTCAGAGATCTAACATAACAGCTCAATCCATTTCAATCTGAGATTTTTCTATAGTATAGTTAAAATGCAATTCAACAGATAGTTGTTAAAAGATCCAAATGCATATGATAAAGAAAACAAAACTCGGAATTGTGCAAAATAAAAGTGATACTAATAAGTTTTTTGACATGTATTTGCTAGGAACATATTTGGCCACATCAATTTGATTTCAAGTTCTTTGGATTTTGCTTAAATCAGAAAACAGACAAAGGAACAAGTTTTTATTATCTAATTGACAATTTCAATGTGAAAAAGCATACATTTATTTGACCTTTTGAAACAAATTTTTTGTTTGCTTCTATTCATTATAACAGCAAATGGAATTGATTTTCTTTTCTGATTTTTTTTCTGGAGTGGTGGGATATAAAGAATTAGCAGGGTAACAAAGGAATAGATGTATTTACATTTTTGATACTTCTCAAATCATGTGACAATCACTTTTAAATTTTGACTTCAAAATATGAAGGAAAATTTTCCAGGAATTTGTGTGACATTAAGTAATTGCAGACTTATTAGCATAAATGTGTAAATACATCTATTGTGAATTGTGACCACATGAAATATTTCTAGCCATGAATATGGGAAATCCAAAGTTCTGTGAGGACCGCACTTAACATTATGTTTGTTCCTCTCTTCTAAGATTTCTTTTAATGTTAGTATGCAAGCAAATAATTTTTTCCAATACAACTTTTGAAATATGTAACAAATTTAAGTTTTTGAACACAAAACTAGTAATGTTGTTTTGTTTATATTCATTGCTAAAAGTAATAAATTCTATATCTTAAAGTTCTTTCGAAAAAAAATCAATGAAAATCTTGAAAAGAATTTCGATGGAGCAATTTGAGGAAACAAATATAAGTGTAAGCAGGTCAATCAATGTGGCCTTTAATACCTACCCATTTTAAATGTGACTTTATTCGGTGGTTCTAAATCCTCGTCCATACCTATTCAAATAAAATCACTTTTTTTTTCAATTTAAAAATTCCATCTGATTTTGATCACTTCTCAAGACAAACCTCCTCGATAATATGATCACTATTAAGAACAGACCTCTACAATACTATGATCACTATTTAGAACGTGCCTCTACAATACTACGATCACTTTTAAGAACGGATCTCTACAATACTATGATCACTATTAAGAACAGACCTCTACAATACTATGATCACTATTAAGAACAGACTTTTACAATACTATGATCACTATTAAGAACATACCTTTACAATACTATGATCACTATTAAGAACAGACCTCTACAATACTATGATCACTATAGCTATTAAGAACATACCTTTACAATACTATGATCACTATTTAGAATGTGCCTCTACAATACTAAGATCACTATTAAGAACAGATCTCTACAATACTATTATCACTAATAAGAACTGACCTCTACAGTACTATGATCACTATTTAGAACTGACCTCTACAATACTATGATCAACTATTTATATACATGAATAGGCTACAAATATACTATTATGACCAGAATTGATGGTATTTTATGTCATGAATGTACATTTTCTCTTTTCATCCTGAATCAATGACATGATATGATATGAATGATCAGTTAGTAGCTTTTGCAAAATACAAATACAGATAGGTACAGAGACAACATTCATTTTAGTACAATGGGTCTTAAAACAATTCATTGAAATTCTTGAAATTTCTCCCTTGGTAAGGGCAACATTATAATTCCACTTACGGTAATTTTTTAAGGAGTCTGGAACCTTCAAAAATAGACTGATAATACTAAAACATAGTGAACAAGTAAAATATGTTACATGCCATAATTCAAAAAAATAAAAAATAAAGATCCCCCATAAAACAGGACATCAATATTCTATATTTCACTTTCATTGATTAACCCCCTCCCCAAATAAAATTTATCTTAACTTTTGAAAATAGTTTTGCATTAAAAATCATGAAAGAATTGAAGGTAGCAGCCATCCTAAAAAGTAGAAGGTGACTAGATTGATATGCACTTAAACAAAATGGTTCTACAGTACCTATCAGTTATAAAACTCTAGCTAACTAGCCTAAGTTAAGCATTCTGTAAAAATCACTTTAAAAGTACCTATCAGTTAAAAAATTCTAGCTAACGTAACTAGCTTAAGTTAAGTAATCTGTAAAAATCACTGGAATAGCACAGCTGACTAAAGCACACTTAATACAAATGACAGGTTTACAGTCCTTACTAAACAGAATTTTATATAAAGGGCTTCCTTAGGGATAGCATCATATGAGAGTAGCATGTCAACAATGGAAAATATAACAAATTATATCTATATTATAGAGATTTAAATCTGTACTGATTTTTATTGTATAAATAAAGCTAAGAAGATGTGGTATGATTGCCAATGAGACAACTCTCTACCAGAGACCAAATTACATAGAAGTTCAAAAGAAAAGATTTAGAAAATTTAGAACACTTATCGGTTGAACAACATTTTCAAACCAACTCAAAACCGAATAAAAAACTGCTTCGCTGAGTGCAGCTGGATACGCCCGCAGAGGTCCAACCCTGAACAGTTGGGGCAAAAATGGACACAATATTCAAGCTTGATACAGGTCTGAATTTGGATTGTATTAAATATTTGACATATTATAGGTTTCTGAATAAATGTAGTCAAAGAACTTGAAATTGGTTATATGAATATATATATAATTATATTCAATTAAAGATTTTTTGCTGTTTAATTGTGCAATACACTGTTCTGTTGCGCAATACTTAGTAAATCTGTTGTCAGACTATAACAATTAAAGTTCAATTAATTCTCAATGTCATATTAGAAATTTATGAAAATGTAAAGGGAGCTTACATCAATAAATATAAATAATTCACCAAAGTTTCATGCAAATTGCTGACAGCATTTCTGAGTTATTGTCCGAAAACTGGAAAATCCCCCCTTTTTTAATGAATAAAACCCCATAACTCAGAAATGTAAAATGCAAAATTTATAAAATTCTAAATGGAGCTTACATCAATAGATATAAACAATTCACCAAAGTTTCATAAAAAACTGCTGAAAGCATTTTTGATTTTTTGTCCGAATACTGGAAAATCCCCCTTTTTTTATGAATAAATCCCTGTAACTCGAAAACCTAAAATCTAAAATATATAAAAATCGAAAAGGAGCTCATGTCAATAGATATAAACAATTCACCAGAATTTCTTTCAAGTTGGTGAAAGCATTCTTGAGTTATTGTCCGAAAACTGGAAAATCCCCTTTTTTTTAATGAATAAAACCCCACAACTCGGAAACATAAAATCTAAAATTTATAAAAAACGAAAGGGAGCTCACGTCAATAGATATAAACAATTCACCAAAGTTTTATGCAAATTGGTTAAAGCGTTTTTGAGTTATTGTCCGACATGTTGATGATGGACGGACAGACGGACGGACGGACAGACGGACAACGGTATACCATTATACGTCCCGTAATCGGGCGTATAAAAACTAAGTTTCTAGCATAAAAAGTCACAAGCAATGTATAACTTCAAGCAAAAAAAACAAGAAATGACTCTTTCCCAAATATCTAATATCTATTGCAGAACAAACTCTGAATAATTATGCCTTTAACATGTTTAAGGTGGTACCAAACACCTTGACTAAAATTAATTTGGCTCGTTCACATTTTCATAAAATTTTGACAAAATATTTACTTTGAACCTTTGACAAAAATATAAAATTTCAATAAAGTTGAACCACACAGTTTATCGGAAAAATTTCATTGGATGTATAGCAGTTTGACAAACACTCATTTTGATCATTGAGAAGCTAAATATTTCCTTAACAATAGAACGTGATTAAAACATTCAGTTGATTTTTACAGAGTTATCTCCCTGTAGTGTTATGTACCACCTTAAATATTTTTCTACTGCATTCTTTCCCAAATATCTAATATCTATAACAAATCAGGCTCTGAATAATTAATTAGTTATATATAAAACATGATTAAATCTTTCTCTACCTGTCTCACGTTCTGCATTGATAAACAACATGATAGTATAAACAAACGCACTAAAAAAGACTGTTTTTGTCTCTCTATCTAGATATTAATGGAAAATTTTGTAAACAAATGCACTTCAAAAACAAATATAAGACTGCTTCAATATATTCATGAATCCTTTGGTCTCAGTGACTACAAATTAATAGATAACATAGTAAACAACAGCACTTAGAATGCCTCTATAAGAATCTGATAAGAACTTCCAAGTTGCAAGAAAATTGGTTGAATAATAATTTGGTCCCGTGACCTATCAATAAAAATTTGGGAACTCTAATTAAAGTGCCACAAGACATGTCACACCGCCTGTTTGCAAACACAAATAATAAAATACAATTAATTTGCATCAGCGGGAAAATATATTTTTTTAAAAGGCAGATTTTTATATCACTTTATTTCTTTTACTGTTCATCATTTTGCAAAAAAAAAAATGATTTAAACTCATTTTTGTTGGGTAAAAGTCACTCTCCTTTTAGTTGCTAAGTGATATGAAATTTTTTAACCTATGAAGAATAATATCCCCTTCCTCACTGCCCCTCCCAAAAAAAAAAGAAAAATCAGCTATAATAGGTCAATATTACAAGCATTCCTTTGAACTTTCAACATACCCATATGAAATTTGACTTTGCTTGACCCTACAGCTTCTTTCATACTTTTAGCTCCCTCTTGTGAGGCACTTTGAGACAATACGGGTTCTGCACTGGTATCTGACAGTACATCTGTCCAGTTAGTCTCTGGAGGTCCCCTTGATACAGATGTTCCAGAATATATTGATTCCGTATCTGCCGGTTGGGACACTGATGATGTCACTGAATTGAATGACCCTATATCGGACTCCTTCTTTCGTGAAGACAGAGAATTCTCATCGGCTAAGTAAAACGTTCTCTTTGGTGTATTTTTTTGGGAACTGACCGATTCAGTATCTCCAAAATAAAATACAACTTTGTCGTCATCTATTGACCCTTTTTCACTCTTCTTGGACTGGTTTGTAGGCCAGACTTTACCCAAATGCTGAAGGTCTTCAACAGAAGAGGCTCCCGATGAAACAGGACCAACCTGAAATTGAGGCTTCAATGCTGAAGACGTGACAGGTGACGATGGATATTCAAAATGAACTGGCGAGGGTGAAGTCAGAATTATGGCAGGGGAATCTTTCAAATTTATTCTATCATCATCAGAAAGATCCAGCTTGAAGTCGTTCGGCTCAGATCCTTGTCGTTTAAGCTCATTAATACTCTCAACAGGGTCATCTCTTGTTGTCTCACTGCTGATGAGATCTCTAAAGGTGGACCGTTCCTTTTCAATGAGGTCTACAGAGTCCGATCGTTCCATTTCTATAAAGTTTTCAGATTCTGGTTGGTGCACTCCAGTATCCATTAGAGTGTATGTTACCCCATTTTCCTGTCTTTCAGTCTCCGATTCCATGCCGTCTGTTTCATCAGAGGAATCCGAGGAGGACTGGTCCAATGACTGTCAATAAAAGAAAACATTAAACCTACATTTACAATTAACACAAAAATTTAACTATTGCCTGTCCATCTTATCTTGTTTTGCTAAAGATTTCAGTGTCTCTTTCACTATATCTTTTTTTGTTTTACTAAAGATTTCAGTGATTTGTTTTTCACTATATCTTTTTTTGTTTTGCTAATGATTTCAGTGTTCCTTTTTTCATTATATCTTTTTTTGTTTTCCTAAAGATTTAAGTTAAATTCCGTGTGGTGAACCAACGCCTGTGAAATCGTTTTGGTAGAGTCCCTGAAGTGGATACCTTGGTATGCCGGGTTGTCAAATCATGCAAATGAATGCAATCCTTAAATAATAATTAAAATTGACAACAACACTTCAAAAGATCTGCAATTTTATTATCTATGTCTACATGTTTCGCCTGCAAGGCAGGCTTCATCAGGACAATTTTTATACAGAATTTAATCCCTGAAGTACTCAAAGTGGTGCATGAAATTTGACGTCGTCATGGTGAGAGAAACAATGAAAAGTGAAAGTAGCAATACAGAGTTATAAATAGATAAGATAAATATAGAAAATTAAAGTTTGTTTACAATGTAACTTGAGTTTGTTTTACTATTATATGATACATGAAATTGTTCTAATGGCTTGGTATCTAATTGGACGAACTTCCCATGGTTCCTACCACTTCGCAAGGCTTCTCTTCCAACCTGGCCATTGTTGGAGGTTACTACTTCCTGGCGCGTCGGCAACACATAGGAAGATTATGGTCGCCGCTATGTAAAATAAAATTGTCAAAAAATGTTCCCTTGTTAATTATTTGGTGACTCTCTATAATTTTTGGATCGTCTGCAGTAGTTGTTCTGTTTAATAGCATGGTTGTGAATTCCTAGTTCATTTAAGATCGGCGCCCGTGGTACGTTTTTTCTGCTAACAGTTATATATATATGTTAAGGTGGTATCGGATTTCTTGGTCATCTTGGTTCAGTTGTTATTTCGTCGCAAGTATGGAATATTCCTTGGTCCATGTATATGCTGGTGGCCTGTAGATTGGCGCGTGTAGCAAGGCGGTTCCTTTCGGATGCAGGGGTTCACGATTAAATAATAAATTAAATTCCGTGTGGTGAACCAACGCCTGTGAAATCGTTTTGGTAGAGTCCCTGAAGTGGATACCTTGGTATGCCGGGTTGTCAAATCATGCAAATGAATGCAATCCTTAAATAATAATTAAAATTGACAACAACACTTCAAAAGATCTGCAATTTTATTATCTATGTCTACATGTTTCGCCTGCAAGGCAGGCTTCATCAGGACAATTTTTATACAGAATTTAATCCCTGAAGTACTCAAAGTGGTGCATGAAATTTGACGTCGTCATGGTGAGAGAAACAATGAAAAGTGAAAGTAGCAATACAGAGTTATAAATAGATAAGATAAATATAGAAAATTAAAGTTTGTTTACAATGTAACTTGAGTTTGTTTTACTATTATATGATACATGAAATTGTTCTAATGGCTTGGTATCTAATTGGACGAACTTCCCATGGTTCCTACCACTTCGCAAGGCTTCTCTTCCAACCTGGCCATTGTTGGAGGTTACTACTTCCTGGCGCGTCGGCAACACATAGGAAGATTATGGTCGCCGCTATGTAAAATAAAATTGTCAAAAAATGTTCCCTTGTTAATTATTTGGTGACTCTCTATAATTTTTGGATCGTCTGCAGTAGTTGTTCTGTTTAATAGCATGGTTGTGAATTCCTAGTTCATTTAAGATCGGCGCCCGTGGTACGTTTTTTCTGCTAACAGTTATATATATATGTTAAGGTGGTATCGGATTTCTTGGTCATCTTGGTTCAGTTGTTATTTCGTCGCAAGTATGGAATATTCCTTGGTCCATGTATATGCTGGTGGCCTGTAGATTGGCGCGTGTAGCAAGGCGCCACCAGCATATACATGGACCAAGGAATATTCCATACTTGCGACGAAATAACAACTGAACCAAGATGACCAAGAAATCCGATACCACCTTAACATATATATATAACTGTTAGCAGAAAAAACGTACCATGGGCGCCGATCTTAAATGAACTAGGAATTCACAACCATGCTATTAAACAGAACAACTACTGCAGACGATCCAAAAATTATAGAGAGTCACCAAATAATTAACAAGGGAACATTTTTTGACAATTTTATTTTACATAGCGGCGACCATAATCTTCCTATGTGTTGCCGACGCGCCAGGAAGTAGTAACCTCCAACAATGGCCAGGTTGGAAGAGAAGCCTTGCGAAGTGGTAGGAACCATGGGAAGTTCGTCCAATTAGATACCAAGCCATTAGAACAATTTCATGTATCATATAATAGTAAAACAAACTCAAGTTACATTGTAAACAAACTTTAATTTTCTATATTTATCTTATCTATTTATAACTCTGTATTGCTACTTTCACTTTTCATTGTTTCTCTCACCATGACGACGTCAAATTTCATGCACCACTTTGAGTACTTCAGGGATTAAATTCTGTATAAAAATTGTCCTGATGAAGCCTGCCTTGCAGGCGAAACATGTAGACATAGATAATAAAATTGCAGATCTTTTGAAGTGTTGTTGTCAATTTTAATTATTATTTAAAGATTTAAGTGTTTCTACTGTGGATTCGTTTATTTTCATAAGTACCAATTTTCGTGGATTGAGGAAACCTTGCAATTTCATTGATACTTGATTTCATTTTGCCAAAATCTGCATACATTCAGCTTTCAACTCAGACTGACAGTGTATTCACAGAACGATATTGTAGATTGATTGATTATTGGTTGTATAAATCCCAGTGGCAATAATTTCTTGCACATTCAGGACGATATATATTCTGATCAACTTATTGTGACTGTTTTTGTAGTCGTAGATTTTGCTAGTGATCTTTATGTGTGAATAAAATGAGATGTGAGTATGTTTGTCACTGAGACAGCAACCCAATAACAAAAAAAACAAACAAGAGATATTCTAGCAAATTATCTTACATGATCTTCTTCATTCTCAACTTCGTGAATGGTAGGTGACAACAGAGCCGATCTAGAGGGAAAACTTTTAGGGGTTTTCATTTTTCTTTTCTTCTTCTTTTTCTTTTTCTTCACTTTTTCCTGAGATGGACGGCTGTGTTTAAATGATTTACTCCTCATGGCTTTTAGTGGATGGTGCTGGTGGGGAAATCTAGAGGTTCTATGATCTGTACAAAATTAAAATAATATGGTAAAGGGATATTTAAGTTTATCTTACCTCCTATACATTTCTAGGAATATGATTGGTTAAAAGCAACCATGTGGAGACCGTGTATATTTCATATGGGGTTAGTAGGTGTGGTTTATTTCAATACAAGGTTAGTAGAGGTGTTAAAACTTTGTAAAAACAACACAGTGTTGAGGAAAAATCTGAAAGGTTTCAACAGACGAAGAAATTGATGATGAACGATTGAAATAAATGCAGAAAACACATTTATAGCTAACATTAAAGTTGTTATTGTTAGCATTTGTTTTTGTTTAGACCAATGGAAGTAGGATCTTAATATTGAAGACTTGATTGCTTTGATAGGCCACTAGTCTAAATACCACATGTTAAGATAGTCGGTAAGATAAATTCGTTACACAGTGTGCTAATGATTAAAGTTCCTATTTAAGCAATAAACATTTCTACAGTTTTTTTGGTTTAGCATTTGCTTTTTGATTTCAGGCAAATATTTTCATGATTTCTAATTTTGCAAAGATTTAATTTGCATCATTTTTCTATTCACCAAAAAAAAAAATGGCTGACTAAAATTAAGTCAGTATGGTTTCTGCCTATCCATGAAATAAAACAAAATCTGTCAGTGATGAGTATTAATGAATCTATATCATCTTACTTGAAAAATTCTCAACTTCAATATCATCTAAGAATTGCTTTTCCATCACTTGAGCACCGGTCTGAAAATTGGGGTCACTGCGGTTAGAAGTAACCAGCTCTGACCCAGATGATAGTGCTGTAATGTCAAACTTCTCCGGCATAGAAAACAATTTTTCAACATCTTCGTTAAAGGAACTCCTGAAGCTTGAAAGACGAGGTCTACTCTCTACCTCTAACTGGGAAAATGGGACAGGTGCTGTTGAAACGCAAGGAATAGGGCCTGGCAAGGGAGCAATTTCTTGTCTTCCTTCAGTTTCCAGGCTGCCCCCATGACTAGATGATGTCGAAAGAAAAGGTTCAGTTTCTTTAATATAATTCTGCAAAGAGAAGAATGTACTTAAATATTCTGTAAAAAACAATATCTTCTATATAAATGTAATATAAGGATTTTTTTAAGTGTACAATTTACGCTTGAATTACAAGGATCTGAAACGCTTTATTTTACTTCCAGTTAGGAAGACCTTTTGCAGAACATTAACTTTTGTCGTTAAGATACAAACATTACACATTGAATTTGTAGTAACGATTAGAATAGAATGCTGATTGGAGTGTTTTCAGATTGGTATGTGCAAGATGATGGAAAAACAGAATTGGGTTTTGCTCATTGTTAAAGGCTGTACAGTGATCTAGTTTGTTAACTTCTATGTCATTTGGTCTCTGGTGGAGAGTTGTCTCATTGGAAATCATACCATATCTTCTTGTCGTAAACTTAGGTTCCGGTAAAATCCATTTTTATAAAACATCTGTGTATATTCTACACAATCTAATGAAGATTCAATTATTTTTGTGGGTACAATTTTCTAGGATTGAGGACAAATATATTTTTTAACTATACAAAGTTAAATTAAGCTTACAATCCGTGCAATTTTTGATAAAAAGCTAACTGTTTTATGTTTTTCGATACATGTCAAAAATCAACAGAAAGTGATTATTTTCCGCAAACTGTATAGGCTTGATTTTACTTTTTATAGTTGCTCTTGACCGAGTACCAGAATGTCCTACCACAGAGTAGGTAACCTGTAGAAGATTCTATAATTTCGGGAGTCAAAAGAAGGTAATATAAAAATAGTCTATCAAGTGACTATCTTTTGGAGAAGTACAGAATGCACCTACGAGTCGAAATTTCCCTACATGAGTACATCGTGACCTTTGCTGACATGTTTGGTCAATAATGGTGCCAGAACAGATTTAATTTTACTTCAGTGTATAAATGCTATCATTTGGGTTATATGATTGCACTGATCTATTATAAATATATGTTTTATTGAACTGATGATAAACGAAAAATGTGTTTAAAATTTATTATCTATAAGTCTTTTTTGAATTTATCAGTGTAATAGTCCTTTCATTGTGATTTAATGCTGACTGTGTTTTATGAGGATTATTTTTTACTATGCAAATAAAAACTGTTTTCCAAAGTATAATAAAATATATCTTTTTAAGTACTAACCATTGTAGTTTTATGCTGTCTGTGTTTTATGAGGAATGTTTTACTATGCAAACAAAAACTGTGTTTTATAGTTAGTATTAAAAGTCTCGATTGGATATGTATCTTTTATTTATTCTCTTTACAAGATTTTTTTTTCCAAATTGAAATGTTATAGGTTGGTGCAAATGAAATCACCCTGCCTAATGAAACTATTAAACAAGGGGAAATAACTCAGCTTCATGAAATTATGTAATACAAACCAGATCTTCGCTGTTGTCTCTTCCAAGTAAGGCCATTGTCTTCTTACATAGAGGGAAGTCTGAAAAAAATTATAAAAAATTAGGTTATATGTCAAACCCCAAGGCAACTTTACAGGATACCCTTTGGTTGCCCTTGTGTGGGAGCCCCCTCAAATATACGTGTGGACAGGATACCCTTTGGTTGCCCTTGTGTGGGAGCCCCTCAAATGTACGTGTTGACAGGATACCCTTTGGTTGCCCTTGTGTGGGAGCCCCTCAAATGTACGTGTTGACAGGATACCTTTTGGTTGGCCTTGTGTGGGATCCTCTCAAATAAAACCCCATGTAGAAAAATTTTTACATTTTTTTTACTGAATAACCAACAGTATTTCAACTTTGAAAACTCTGCCATTGGACATTTCCATAAGAGAGCTGAAAAAGGTCTAAAGGACCAGAAGAAAATTTCATTTCTAACATTTCCTTAAAATGTTACAAGTGTCTTCAAATCAGATAAATCTACTGCAAACAAAATATGCTGCAATAGCTTATAAAATATTGGCTTTCATAAGAAGTTATTTACTTTCTTTGAACCTGTTTGTAATTTCTATAGAGCAATTACTTCATTTTTTTTAAATATTCTTCTTGTCTAAACTTCCTGAAAGAGCCATTGATTTTTTTTTTTATAAAAACAAATAAATTCAGGAATCTTTATAAAAGAACTATCTGTTTTTAAAAGTCTTGCAAAAGTAACAAAAGCATTTTTTAGGTTCTATCCATCATGACATTACCAAAAGAAGGATAACTCATGAAATTGCCTAAAAAATTAAAGATGTCAAAATTTTAAATGCAATTTTGTATTTTTTTAAAAACAATTATCAGTCACAATTTTTTACAATATTTGCCAGTTTGTTCATTGAATAAAAAAAATGTTTATTTTACAGTATTGTTGGGTTGCCATCTATATGTATATACCCATATCATCTTGTAAATACACTTACCCCTGCTCATGCTAACAAGTTTAATATTCCAGTAATTCACTTAGTTATATAAATAAAAACAGTTCCCCCAAACATCATCCTGTGTGAATCCTTCCGTGACCTTCAAGTCATATCAAAGTAACAATAACCTTCACACCTAAAAACCTTTGACCTCATATATTTTATTGGATTCTTAAGATTTATTAACAAGATTTACAACAGATAAGATTTAATTTGTATATACATATAAATTATATAGCTTTCCATATTTAGTGATTTTATTGTAATTTGATATTACATAATGTTGTCATTTTCCGCCTGCCCTTACCAAACAGGAAATCATCCAGATTTAATATTTATCTAGAAAAGTGCAAATTAAGTTAAAATTAAAGTTTCTGCAAGTACAGTCATACACCACTAGGAAACATGAAGCAATTAAGAATATATCATAAAATTGTATCTTTATGTAAATGTTAATGTATTAGGTACAGATTGTAAACAAGATGCTGTCCAGTGACAGCAAACCGGATTTTCCTGCAGAGGTGGAACCCTGAACAGTTGAGCAAGTATGGACACAACATATAAGCTTAAAACAGCTCCGAATTTGGATTGTGAGTGAATATTTAAAATAGATTATTATCTAATTCATAATGAAAATGATATTTGCAAATCTGAACCCCAAACAGGATCATGTAAAAATAAACATTAACACACACAACAAAAATGAAATGCCACATTACAACTGTGACATCTACCTTCATAACACACATGACTTAAAAAAAATAGTTGTGAAGAAATTTTGATGTTATCATTACTGGTTCATGGAATAAGTTTGAGTTATTTCCCTTTGAACAGAAATATGGTTTAACATAGTACTCTAACATAAGATATGATTTAATATAGTTCTCTAAAATTAGATATGATGTAAAACAATGTATATCCATTTTCAAATTATAATCAAATATAATCAATAGTTCCAAATATTTTTTTCTTCATTTGTCACAAACTAATATAGATCTGCAGCTTATCTATCAAAGTCAACAAATTTTCTACACAATGTAATGTAATGAAATATATCCTTTAATAAAAATAGATTATTATCTAATCAAAGGAGTTCACATCACAAAAAAAAAATTATATATATAGTATTCAGAAAATTAGTTTATACAGAATAGCAAACAAACCTACCACAAAATTCTTCAAACAATTTATCAAAGAAAAGGAAAAAAAATCAAAATGTCATTTATCATAAATACAATGTCTTTTAAAAATCTTTTAAAAAATTAGTTATTTCCCTTTGTACAAAAATGGATTAATTCATCAAAAATTGAATTCTTGTGAAAGGGCTATAACTGAACAACGAGAAAAGCTAAAATCGCGAAAATTGAACTTGACCTTCTTTTAGTCACGGGAAACAACATATCTAAATTTGAAAAAAATTCTTCGAAGCGTTTTTATGTAAATGAACGGACACTGTTTGGCAGCCGCCCGCTGTACATCCTCAAATCAATAATCGATTTTTACTTCGAAAATCCGGTTAAATAGAACATAGATAAATGGGGAATGTGTCCATTGGACACAGATGATGCCCCCGCTTGCATATCATATAAAGTTATAAAGGGACATAACTGAAGAACATTAAAGTTGACGCTACCCAAATTTGTTATTGATCTGAGTTTTGTAGTATTAAGTATTGTGTATAAGTTTCATCACATTTGGTTGAGGCAAACTAAAGTTTGAGAACGGAAACAAAAAATTAAGCAATTTTTTCCTTTTTATAAAGAAGCATAACTCTAGAACTGTTAAAGTTACACCACCAAAATTCAAACTTCATCTGTATTTTGTGGTAATAAGCATTGTGTATAAGTTTCATAACATTTGGTTGAGGCAAACTTAAGTTTGAGAACGGAAATGAAAAATTCAGCAATTTTACCATTTGTAAAGGGGCATAACTCTACAACGGTTTAAGTGACGCCACCAAAATTCAAACTTGATCTGTGTTTTGTGGTAATAAGCATTGTGTATAAGTTTGGTTGAGGCAAACTAAAGTTAGAGAACGGAAACCAACTTTGGGACATACGGACAGACAAGGGTAAAACTTAATGCCCCCTCCGCTACGGCGGGGGCATAAAAATTTGATAAGCTCTGCAGGACCTTAAGATATTCAGGAAAAACAAGCATTGAAATTTTTAACAAACACAAAATCATATATTCTAGTATCTTATTTGATTTTAAGAAATGTTTCCTAGATTGATTGATTGGTGTTTAACACCACTTTCAACACTAATGTGCTATTTCGTGGCAGTCATTTTTTATTGGTGGAGGAAGCCGGAGTGCCCGAAGAGAACCATCGACCTTTGGTAGGAAAACTGACAATCCTAGTCAATTAAGATTGGAGTTGAGGGCATCTGCCACGTGTGGGATTCGAACTCACAACATCAGTGTTGACTGGCTAGTGATACAGTAGTTCGATTACTTAGACCACTCGGCCACCGAGGTCCCATGTTTCCTAGAGGGACTCTTACAATAATTCAAATATCAAATAGTTTCCAATTCCAAAAGAATAGTCTTCCACCTCGGCGAGGTAAAACCAAAGATTTTTAAAGTGGTATGCTAATTGCTGTAAGTAGCTTTTTAGAGAAATAACAAAGTAATGGGCTCTTTTCAAAAAAAAATCTTACCACAAAAATTGAATGTAAGTTAAAATGAAATTCAAATATTCATGACTTACAAGTATTTTTTCTCATAAGGTTGTGGGACCCCTAAAGTAAAATAAGGCATTATAGCACTCTTTTACTTTAGGAGTCCCATTAAAATTACCTATATATAGGTTGTGGGACCCCTAAAATAAAATAAGGCATTATAGCACTCTTTTACTTTAAGGGTCCCAAATTTATTATCACAAATAATGAAGAAAAGTGCAGTTAACTCATTTTACTATATAGTTCACTCATTTTACTATATGTAAGTGCTTCAGCAACCCATTACTTCTCATTTGTACTTTTATGGACCGGGAACCCGAAAGTAAAATCCAAAAATGTTGGGACCCCTAAAGTAAAAGAAGGCCAAATTTTTGTGAAATGTCGAGTTGAGTCGTTAGTCTGCTGTGAGTCCGAATATTTATGTGTCACGGTTGTGTGTGGTATGTTATACTGTAGACTGTGTAACCTTGAAAGCTGCCACCGTAAAAACTTGACTTACTGTTTAAAGTTCATAGCACTAATATGTTCATTAACGTTTACTTGTAATATTTCTAAGTCTTCATTTAATATTTGATTTTAGACTTAAACATTCGTTTGTCAATCAATTTGACTCCCAAAGATTGTAGATAGTAATTATAGTACATGTTTATAGTACTTAGCATATTAAGTCAAATATTTGATTTGTATTAGAAAAATTGGGAAGGGGTGGTATTTGACGCATTTTCAAAATTCCATTTTTGTTTCTTATTCTCAAGTTTTTTTTCTGGCTGTTATCTTGAATGTTGTCCTATATATGTCAATTTCTAAACCAATATTTTGATCAATGAAAAACAGAGATCAATCGAACAACATGTTTACTATAAAAAAAATAATTAGGGAAGGTTTAACTTAGCTAAGAATTAAAAAGGTTAAATAACAAAAATACCAAACTCCAAGGAAAATTCAAATCGGTTCAAAGTCCCTTATCAAATGGCAAAATCAAAAGCTCAAACACATCTAATGAATGGAAAACAACTGTCATATTCCCGACTTGGTACAGGCATTTCCTTATGTAGAAATGGTGGATTAAACCTGGTTTTAAAGCTAGCTAAACCTCTCACTTACATGAAAGTCTCATAAAATTCCATTTTATTAACAACAACTAGTGTGAACAAAACAAACAGACATAATAGGTAAAAATGTCAAAATAGGGGTAGAGCAGTCAACATAATGTGTTATAATCTTAATCACTATAAAAACAAATAAATATGTCAACAAAGATAAACAAATTGAATGAGGATGATGTTGGATTAATGTTCAGTGGCAAATTAAATGCATGTTCAGGACGAGAACATAGCAACCTGATATGAATGTGAACCATGTTATGTACTAGACTGACATACTGAGCCAGATTTTCATTAA